CTGAAGAAAAAAATATAAATGTTGTTGGGGACAACCGGGGGCTCGAACCCCCAACCACGAGATTGATTTTCAGAGAGCGCAACTCTACCGACTGGGCTACCGTCTCGCACTTATCAAACCAGGAATTTATAATATATATAAACCTTCGGTTGCAAAGGGTGGTGACTTCAAAAGTCACGTGTCGTCGTCAGTCGCTCCTCCCCAACCCCTCCGACAAAAAAAATGTTGGTGACATATATATTAACCTACTGTTGCAAAGCTTACCAACATCAAAAGTTACTTGTTTGTAGGCTTCACTTCAACCCCTCCCCTCCCCCTCTGTGAGGAAAAAATATATATAAATGTCAGTGTTGACAACCTGGGGCTCGAACCTCCAACCCCAAGATTGATGATCTGATAACAGCACTCGATGGACTGGGCTACCGTTTCGCACGTACAAAGCAGGGAATTTATAATACATACTGTATAAACCGTCGGTTGTAAAATGTGGTGACGTCAAAAGTCACGTGTCGTCGTCAGTCGCCCACACACCCTCTGCTCTGACGAAAAACAAAGTGTGGATGGTGACAACCTGGGGCTCGAACCTCCAACCCCAAGATTGATGATTTGAGAACTGCGCTCTACCGACTGGGCTACCGTATCGCACATACCAATCAGGAAATTTATAATAAACTAGTGCAGGGCCAGTCGAAAACGTGCGTGTTCGGAAGGGGCAGTTGAGAACTGCAGCTCGTACAAATAACGCACATTATTCAATGGTGTGAACGCACACTCGCAAGTTAAACTAACAAAATGTCGTCACCCCCCCTGGCACTGATATGTACCCCTACTGGACAGTATGGTATCGCCCGACAACTGTAGGGCGTAGTTGTAGGGCGATACAATTTTGTATTAGAATTGCTCAGTCGACCGCCTACATACAGTGCAGTGATGGTTGTTCAGTTGACTACAAAATGCATGTGCCCGTGCATGCCACTCACGTATATGTACGTACGAAGACATGGTATGCAGTGCTTATCGCCCTACAATGTGCCCGTCATTTTTGCAGAACCCGTCAAAAAAATGCACCTGTTCGTTAGGGGCAATTTCAAAATGCTCATATCATGCAAACAACGCACACGATTGAATTGTGTTGTTTTCACAGGTTAAACTCACACTCATAGGTTGAACGCACTTTATACTTGTCGCCAGGCCATCCCCGGCACTGATATTCACCAATACGCCCGTGCAGCTACTCACCTACGTGAGTAAGGTTGCTCAATCCACCGCCTACAATAGTGGTTCAATCGACTGCAAATGCACGTGCCCGTGCAGTCATCACGTACGGAAACATATGGTACGCAGTGCTATTCACCCATACTGGACAATGGTATCGCCCTACAATGCACGTGCGCGTGCCCGTCCTTTTTGCATTGTTTGCGTCATATTGAGCACGCACGCTCTTGCTTTAACATGACGTAAACAATTTAAAAGAACATCAGTGCGCGGAGTTCTAGGCTATATTCTGGCGCGTTTGCCTCAGAAAATACTGCTTTTTTACAGCTTTTTCGACAACCGCTGGTCCAAACCACTTCAAACTTGGCACTGCACATTCTGCTGTCCCGAGCAATACACCCGCCGATTTTCAACTCCATACGGTGCACGGTTCTGGAGATAATCGGCGGACAGACAGACAGACAGACAGACGGACAGACAGACAGAGATTCCTTGAATTGTAGTATAGATATAAACCCCTGCTTGCAAAGGGTGGTGACGTCAAAAGTCACGTGGAGTTTTCAGTCCCCTTCACCCTCATTGACCAAAAAAATATTGTCGATGGTGACAACATGGGCCTCGAACCACCAACCCCAAGATTGATGATTTGAGAGCGGCACTCTACCGACTGGGCTAACGGCTCGCACATACCAAACAGGGAATGTATAATAAATTTTTAAAAAGCCAGTTGCAAAGGGTGCTGACGTCGAAAGTAACGTGTAGTCTTCACCCCTCCCCCTCCCCCTTCCCCCCTTTATGAGGGAATAAAATGATTTTGGTGAAAACCTGGCACTCGAACCTCCAACCCGAAGATTGATGATCTGATAACGGTACTCTACAAACTGGGATACCGTCTAGCACATACCAAGCCGGAAATTTATATTATATACACCTCCGGTTGCAAAGGAAGGTGGCGTCAAAAGTAACGTGTCGTTCGCACCCCCCCCCCCCCCCCATCCCCGCTCTGACAAAAAAAAAGAGTCGTTGGTGACAACCTGGGGCTCGAACCTCCAACCCCAAGATTGATGATCTCGTCACAACTCTGTCTCTGAGACCTGGCTGAGGCCTGTTTTAAATAATTTTGTGCCCGAATCCATAACTTTTCAGACTAGGCCGGTAGGCCCGGATGTCATGCCAAAAAATACTGTCCGGTGCCAATAATACTGCATCGTATGGCCTGCTTGCGGTCAGCTTTAAAGACGTCACGAATGAAATAGTTTTTCATCTCATTTTCTTTTTAAATTTTGTTTCAACTGTAAATTGTTGTGTCTGATATTATAGGTTTTTCCCGGCCAATTTCCTAAAATGTTTATTCACTTCTGAAAATTTGTCGTTCCTTTTTCGTCTGAATTTGAATGCACGTCTTTTATCCGGCATTTCAATTCAACGAAAGTTCAATCGTTTTCATTCTCCATGCCGATGCGTTTGATTTTGAGAAACAGACGGCCAATTATACGTTGCCTGTGCATTCATTTACGCGACAAGTCGACCGTTGAGACAACTCGACTCGGGACAAGTCGACCGTTGAGACAACTCGACCGTTGAGACAAGTCGACCGTTGAGACAACTCGACTCGGGACAACTCGACCTTTGAGACAGCTCGACTTCATGGAAATGTATACACGTGGAGCGGAAAAAGTTGCAAAAATCTGTGGCAGGACCGGTCCCGAGCGCGGCGCGGGCATACTCGATGCACAGAGGGCGATCCGATCCGGTGGCCGTCGCGTTGGGCCGGCGCGCCCTGCCCGCGAGGATCGGGCCCGGCCCGGCACGCGGGCATTCAACCGGCGCGGCAAGTGGGCGCACAGGCCCGGCAAAAACAATCACGCTGCGCTATATCGGCTCTGTTATATGCAACAAAAAAACCTCAGCCGCCGTCAAAAATCCCCGGTACTATCCCCAAAACTAGGCCCAAAAACATGCGAGGCGACTTGTCTCAACGGTCGACTTGTCTTTCCATTTATCGCACATACGGTCGAGTTGTCTCAGCGGTCGAGTTGTCTCAACGGTCGACTTGTCCCGAGTCGAGTTGTCTCAACGGTCGACTTGTCTGACCCCCCCCCCCCTTGATTTCAGGTACAGCTAATTTGATGGATGGTTAAAGGGAAAATACAACATTTGCAAATATCAAAAAATAAAACTACCAAATCATTTGGAAATACCTTGCTGGACTGTTAGTGAATGACAGTGTAAAGCATCCTGTAAAATCATGGCACCTGGTATACTGTCATTTTCAAGAAAAGTGGTATTTTTGTATCAATTTCCAACGCTGATCGGCCGATCAGCGTTGGAAACAACTGGCTTTTTTTTCAAATACTGGCCCCAATTGACCATCGCACTTGTTTGCAATCGATTACAAACCTATGAACGGGTACGAGCCAGCTAGACTGGTTCCCTGACCTTACAATTCCCCAATGTATGTATGTAAACTGCTCTGTTTCTTCTTATATGGAGTCAGGGAACCAGACTACAGGAAAATGATCGTTTTTCTTGGTTTTTATAGCATTTTCGAACCCAAAACCTCAAAAAAGTCAGTGTAACTATATTTGCTATATATTTCCAACCCCCCAATTCCATCCATTTCTGAAAATTACAGCAAAAGCAAATGATGTATATTCCCTTTAATGAAAAAGAAATCCCTAATTGATTCAGGTACCGATTGCATTAAGCTAAAAGTGAACTAGAATGGTGAATGTTTGAAATCGCCCGCTAAAGGCGAAATAGAAGTTTTGTAAACGAATACGAATGGACACAAACGAAAGGCGCTGCTCAATCAGTTGATTTTATTGATTGAACTGAAATGGAATCGAACGTTTGGAAACGAAACGCGTGTTCGGAGCGATACTCAAATCCAGGCGAAAATGAATGACCGATTTTCAGAAGTGAACACTTTAGGAAATTGGCCGGGAAAACTCAATTTGTTTGAATTGATATTTCTGACATTTAAACTCACATCCGGCCGTGTGTTTTCGTGTCAGATCACGCGTGGATGATAATAGTGGTACGTGTACTTATTATTCCTCTGGCTGCTAAAGAACGGATTCTCTAACATTTTGAGCGCATTGTTATGCAGTATTTGGCAAGAAAATGGAAAACCGTCCGACGCCCCAGTTTTAGTCAGATGGGTTATGGTTTGGCAAGACTATACTTGATGCTTTCTGGGGAATCAGTAAATGCGCGGAACTTTACTTTTAGGATCTTTCATATGTCCTCATAATAATCCAGTCATAATGCTTCAGAAAATGTTCTTTAAAGGGTATGTATTAAGTTAGTAGAATTCCCAAAATTTACTTTTCAAAAAATGAAAAAAATTAACAATATTCAACGAAAAGGAATAACTATATTACACGGCAATTATTTACATTTATGCAAATCAGGCACCCTCCCTGAAATAATTTCAGGTGTCACCCTTTCTAAATATCTTCTGTAGGGCTATAAGAATCTATCTGCCAAGTTTGGTCCTGCCTTTGGACCAGTCGCTGACTATCGTGTCCAAATTTGGATCTAAGCTACTTGACTATTTAACAAGGTTATTGACAAATTGGGGAACCGCCAACATAGGACTGCATAGCTCAGTTGGTAGAGCACCGGAACGATAATCCGGAGGTTGCAGGTTCAGACCCCGCAGGCCTCGACCCTCGACTCGACTGCTCAGCTCCCGATCCGACCACGATCTCCACGGCCGCTCACCCCAAGTTTACAAGTTTAACGGTCGACCAAAATAGCGCCCTCCTTTGGTTCACACTCTCACTGTGAATGTGACGTCATCTATGGGCCAACGTGAGCTAAGATTACGTGGCAGCGGACTTGCTGTGTTGGAAATCGTGTGTAAATTGCCGATTTTTACCCTAAATTCTGGCTTTACGAACGAGTACAGAGGAACCTATTTGAAGTGTCCTGATTTTTGTCCCTACAACGTCTGAAGTCTCACTCGAAAAAGCGGAAAGAAAGCACTACAAAATGGGACTTTCGATATCAAATCTCTTCAATAGATTTTTCGGCAAGAAAAATATGCGGATATTAATGGGTAAGCATAAAGCCTAAGGCCGGGTACTGAGGCCTACCTGATTAGAAACCCTTGAAAATCACAGTGTTTCAACATGTTCAAGAAGTTAATTAATTTCCAACTTCGCCATTATTACTATGTTTTAAAGATGAAGGCTTAGCTTTGATTTAAGATAGTGGATATTTTGCCGGAGGTAATGACGGCAAACTAACGTTTACTAAGGGTTTGCCGGCGGCAATCCATATCAACAGAGGGCGCTGTACTCTTTAAGATAGGGCTGAATTATATCATGTATTAAATTCCCATCAAAGTTGTGTAGCACAATCGGTGCAGTGGTTAAGCAGTAACTCTGGTGAGTGGGATGTCCCGAGTTCGAATCCCGATCCCCGCCACAATTTGAAGGGTTTTTTTCCCATCCCCAAATAAATAAGAATATTCTTCTTTTATTATTTTAATATGTCTCAAACATTATATTGCAGAGTATTACTTTTTCTTTTTCAGATTTGTGGCTCTGGAGGATTTTTTTTTAAAGGGAAATAAAGTCCGAAATTAAAAAATGGTCTGATTCCCATCTTGTATAGTCGGACTCCCTATTATCGCGGCATCCCTATTATCGCAGCATGGGAAATTTCTCTTTTTACAGTGTCAAAACTCCTTCAAGTGGCGATTTTTATCCAGTTCACCAGTCATCAAGGATTTTCTACCGAGTTGTATAAAAAGGACGATTAAAAAATGTTGTGTCTTTCGGGACTTTTAACGATTTTAATAAATATTAACGTTTTCCAAAACTTGCAAAATTTTCCCTCACCGTGTCTGCTAAAAGGTACCGTTTATATTTTAACATAAATCTTTAATTGCGCTCTGTCCATGAAAGTTCCATTGTCTGGTTCCCATTCTTCAGCTGCAAATGTAAAATGAAGTCGAACGACGATATTTGCAGCGCGAAATCGTAACAACTTTTATGGGATCAAAATAAGCACCGCGCGTATGCGAAAATAAAACGGCACACCGTGTAAAGTGAATGGCGCCCTCAATCGCCGATCAGTAGACTTGCCTCAGGGATTTGTGTTCTCCTTTCGGGGGAAGGGCAGGGTCTTAAGAAATCATCCTGCAGACATTTTGTCTTTAATCAACTTAAACGTTACAGGGAAAATATCAGACTTTATTCAGGGGGTGTTTTGGTCAAACATAAACTATGAACAAAAAAGTTCGGATCATTATAAAAACCACTTCCCGCATACCGCGATAATAGGGAGTCCACCTCCGTTTGCACACGCCGCGCATGTCTATTTTCACAGGCATCGTACACGGAATAAAAAGGCCACCCGTCAGATTTGTTTATATTAATTTAAAAAGGAGGAGTTATACTACACATAAGACAGGACAATTCTGGAAGGTTAGTGGGCAATCTCTATTCCGAATGAGAAATGTGACAAGTACCGCGATAATACAGCGTTCCATCCTACATACAGAAATACAACGATAATATTGGCATGGAGCATGGAGTGCATATCCGGCTGCCTTGATTTAAAAGGTAAAGGTGTGAACATAAAAAGTGCAATCAAACTTGTCAAACATTGTGAATGTCAAACAAGTCAACATTTCGTGAAATGGGCGATCGTGTACTAGTGTAGGGCCCCTGTTTAGTTTCGATCAAATTAGAGTTTGGCCTACTTAAGTTAAGGATGGTTTTATCATTTCCAACAACTTTCAACCTAAAGCGGATTTCGCTCAGTAAAGACTCCTTTTTTTTGTAATTTTGAACAGTTTCTTGGGATAGAACTTATGGCGATCGTGAAGTGTAGGGCCCCTGTTTTGTTTTGATCAAATTAGAGTCAAAAATGTTTTTTGTTGCTCAAAAATCACCTTTACAATCAAAAACAGACTTTTCTCAATTCTAATGACACCCGTTTTGCAATTTTGAACAGATTCTTGGGGTAGAATTCACGATTTTCCTGCGCGGTTTGTGCCTTGTGATTCAGCGCGCCGTGCATGCTCACAGTACATCCCGCGGTAAACGCCATCTTTATTTTCGGGTTGCGTGTTGTCGCCGCGCTGTCATCGTCATTTTACCCCCAAATTTCCCTAAAAAAATCAAAACCCTGCCCTCTATCTATGACATCCTACCTGTTTATTGAGAATGTCGCCAACTAGTTTGGTAGGTCCAATAATTTTAAAGTGGATTTTGTTCCCTTATAGTAACCGGGCCCTACACTACACAATCGCCGAACTTATAACAGTTTTCGTACGCGGTTTACTGTTGGCCGTTGGCGCTGTGCGATTCAGCGCGATATTGCGCATTCATAGTACATCGTGGTGATTGCCATCTATATTTTCGTGTTTCGTTTTGTGATTATCATCGTCATTTTATCCCCAAATATTTATGGTGTTTTTTTTCTTTTTAACAAATTTATCCAATTGATTCTAGTAATTATTTATTGTGTATTTCTATTCCAGTTGGACTGTCATTATCATTGTCATTTTATCCCCAAATATTTATGGTGTTTTTTTTCTTTTTAACAAATTTATCTAATTGATTCTAGTAATTATTTATTGTGTATTTCTATTCCAGTTGGACTTGATGCTGCAGGGAAGACCACAATTCTTTACAAACTCAAACTCGGAGAAATAGTCACAACGATACCCACCATTGGTGAGTATAGCAACACATACAGGTTGCTTTTTTAATTTCCATTTCCAACAAGTAGTTTGTAAGATGTGAAGTTAGGCCTGAAAAACAACAACAAAATGTCTCCAGGTATTAGGGCTGTCCCCAAAAAACCCAGAATATTTGATCAGCAATGGAATATTCGAATAGCTTTTTACCAATTTGAATATTAGAAAGACCCCCCCCCCCAAAAAAAAAACAACAACACAAGATCTGTGATGTTATTTTAATCGTAAAGTTCGGCACTTTATTGTCAGAAATAACTTGTTTGTCGATGGCGGTTCATCCTTTTGGCAGTTTGAAGCCCTTGACAGTAATAAAATACTTGGGAAAGATTTCCATATACGAAGTTCACTAATTTTCCTCTGTATTGACTAAGGGGCCGTTCACAATTATCAACATTTTCACAAGTGTACAAAGCGTACACTTTTTCAAGACCCCCCCCCTCCCCCCTAAAAGTGTACGAAAAAAATTTTGATTTTTTTCACACAAGTCTATATACATGTAGACACTTGCATGTGACTTCGTCGAACAGCTTTTCACGGTCTGCATTCCGCTGTAGTTAAAAACATGCAGTGGATACGGACTGTACATGTACATACAGTACATTTTCATGTATGTGTGTAGGACAATGCCGCGCATGCTGTACACAAAACGTTCATGGGATGCAATGCGGGGCCTGGCGCGGGGCGCGACTGGCTCGGCAAGTGCTCGATCGGCATCGGTTGTGGCTGACGGCTGTGGCGACGGGCGAGAAAACATATCGACATTTAAAAAAAAAAAAAAGTGTACGGCGGCCATGAACCCCCCCCCCCAGCGTACGGTTTGTACGCTCGTGAAAATGTTGATAATTGTGAACGGCCCCTAACAAGCCCTCAGATAGCAATTTCATGTCATCAAAGTCAATTTGAGCAGTGAGAAAATACAAGCATTTTCTTAGAAAACACTTAGAATTTTTCAGTCCAATCTCATAGGGTTTGTACACAGGGTGTTGAGTGAACTTCGTATATGGAAATCTTTCCAATACTTGGTGCAAAACACTCCAGTGGCCCATAGCACCAGGCATGCAACTTGTCCTCGGATCAGCTGATTTCCTCGTTTGTCACTTCACACTTACGCCATTAAAATTGAAAAACACTTTACAAAGTCTTGTAAACATTGGAGTTTCCTCCTTTTTTTTGGTTACTTCTAAGTTGCATGCCTGTAACATGGCTCGCTGCACAAAAATTTTATCCGACGCGATTTGCGCCCAACTTAGTTGCAGCTGGCATGTGAAAACTTGATTGGCAAGTTTGAATTATCGAATACTAAAATTTCAATTTGAAAATGGACAGTCCTACCAAGAATGTGCAAAAAGCACTTTGAATTAAATTAGAGTTGATTCCCCTTACAAATAGAATTGATCGAATATTTCGATAAATCAAACCGACCAATGACTTTAGTATTATTTTTATTATCATTATTATTATTATTATTAATTTCTGGTCTGAAACCAACGATTGCCAGCACTGTAGCTTGCAAGCCTGAAGAAACCTGTAGAGAGATGACAATGAGAAGAAATTACAGTTTTAGAGGTGGGAGGAAATTGGCCCAGGCCGGATTCGAACCCGGGTCACAGCGCTGGAAGGCGAGGAAAGTACCGCAATGCCAACCTGACTCCCCATGTAAATACAATGTAATTAATTATGGTATAGGTGGTGCTAATTGATTGATTAAACTTTTTGGCCATCCCTCTGCGCAGGTTTTAATGTTGAATCAGTGGAATACAAGAACATCAATTTCACTGTCTGGGACGTTGGCGGCCAAGACAAAATCCGACCACTCTGGAGACACTACTTCACAAACACGCAGGTACACCCACTCTTGTTTTACTATCCTCCTGAGGACAATGCTTTGTGTTTTCCTTTGCCCCTGTAATATAACAATCTCCCTTAGACTAAGCACACACACCGACTACAGAGGACCGTTTTGAACAAAAGACCCAACTCCCGAGGACTGAAAGGATCTGTGTTCTCCCTCTGTGTGTCTGTCCTCGAGGGTTGTGAAGAACAAGTACATCGTTACGTATGCACGAGAGCGGTCCATTCACAGCCAATGACAGCGTGTGTAGGTTTTTGCAAGGCCTTGGCATCTCTGTGTGTTTTTTGGCTTTGGGAGATTCTAGGCATGTCACTTGGGGAAACCATGGTTCAGTATGGACTCTGTGCACCAACAGTAGAGGGCGCTTTTCAATCACGTTCCAGAGCCCAGGGGACGGGACACACAGCAAGCACTGGATCATGTGCGTGATGCGCGAAGTGTGCGAGACTAATGTACTCTCTGAATGTGCGTCAGTCCATCGTGAGCGCAAGGTGTCGTCAGCAGTGCGTTCGAATGTCCCTCCCAGTGGTCTGTACAACTCTCCCTTTGTGACCGTTGAGGGGGTACTTGTGCACGGAGCCCATATTCCCATATAACCAAGTCCTTATTAAAATATGAAGTCAAAATTAAGTGTATTTCCTTTGGTTATGACATTGAAGGCTTCTAACTGAGCCTTTAGCCAAAGCTGGAGATAAAAGCCCCCTTCTTTTGTCAGAAAGGCCTTTAGATGTGTATTTCTTTGTCTTTCATAGACCAACTACTTTAAACATTTAGTAATGAGAGGTCCTTTGAGCTAAAGCTGGATCCTGGAGCCAAAGCTGGAGATAAAAGCCGGGATTTCAAAAACTTCTATAGATGTGTATTTCTTTGTCTTTCATAGGCCGACTACTTTTAGAATTTAGTAATGAGAAGTGGTAATTTTGGGGAGATATTGAGCATATTTTTTGAATGATTTAAAAAAAAAATTGAGTATTTTTTTTGAAATCATGATTTTAATCAATGATTTCAATTAAATGATTAAAATCAAACAATCTTGCTGTTGAGTTATGTCTCTTTCTGACTGTGTTTTGATATTAAGTACTAAATTCTCAAATGCTGCAAGAGCTTGCAAGAAAGTAAAATCTGGGGGAAGAAAGTAAAATAGTGGGTGGAAGAACCACTGCAGTTCTGAATCTATTAGAAAATTTAGGCATGAATAATGGTGATTTAAGTTTGGTAAATTTGTAATACCATGAAGTAATGCATTAATTTTCTTTTAAATTCTCCCAGGGATTAATCTTTGTAGTTGACAGCAACGACAAGGAAAGGATCGAAGAGGCAAAAGCAGAACTTAGCAAAATGGTGAGGGACGTCTTTCCACTATTACTCCCATCCCTTTACTAAAATGTTGTCTCTCATTTTTGTAGCTGGTGCAAGAAACAGTCAATAAAACCAATTTTTGGGAGTCGCATGTCAAATCCGTACATTAAATTAGAAAGTACTTCAGTACAATATTTGAGCACACTTTCTTTGTATTTGGAGCAATGTACTCAGTGGCAAAGTGTTCAGTGTCACTCAGTATTTTTTATCCTTTTGGCCTATGTGTTATGCGAGAACCTCCAAAAGCAGACAGCCCAACTGCTGAAGACTTTCTCAGGTGAAGGGTTGGGGAGTGTTATTTGATATGCTGTGTGAAAGGTTTCCCATACAAGAGATTAAATTTGCACAAGTAACCTGCAGTAGTGCGTGGCAGACGGCCCAACTGCTTACCCACACGAAAGCCTCTGAAGGATTATGAAGGACACAGTAGTACTGAAACAGAGGGTTACTGTGAAGGATTCTGCAGTTTGTGTGTGCACAAACTCCATTGGCAGACGTGTGGAGGCAAAACCTTAAAGGGCCACAATTCATGCGATGGCATTTTGCGCAGGGAAAACGTAAATTCAATATGGATTTTGCCCTTCACTGACCTAAATTCAGGAACATTGTATACTCGGTGTTTGCCGAGGGTTTGCAAGAACAAAAATTCACCAACTCGACCACTGAGCTAGCCTCAGTTAATGAGCCGATCCACCCGGCAAGCCCACTGAAAGAGTGGCAATGTCTGCACCAGTAGACAGGAGGGCGTGGTTTCCATTCCCTCTTTGAATAAGCTTCTGAATTTTGTCTTGCAAACCCGCGGTCAACACCGAGTATACAGTGTTGATGGATTTTTAACAGTTTAAGCAAATTTTTTTTGTACCGAGTTTTGTTAACTACACGAAAACAAAGGAATGTCCACATAGCGTATGTAAAACAAACACGAGTGTGTTGGCGGAGAGCAAAAACCAAACTTGAAGTTTTGAAGAGTAAATTTTGTGTGTGTTTATTCGTGCAGTTGGATGAGGATGAGCTCAAGGACGCCATCTTGCTTGTGTTTGCCAACAAACAGGACTTGCCAAGCGCAATTTCCGTCAGCGAGGTGACAGACAAGCTAGGATTGAACAACCTGAGGAACAAAAAGGTCGGTGCTTTGGTTCCTTTATTATTAGGTATATCTCTGCGTACAGAAACAGGACAAGGGTTGAATATGTAGAAATAGGCCAGTTGGTCTGGGACAGTGCCCAGATTAACCAGTTCACGCCGGAATTATTTTTGACAAGAAAGGAACAAGGCGCGGGATTTATTTTCACTCAACCTCAAGCCAGGCAGGTTGAAGCCATCACCCTTGGGCAGCACACTCATATTTCCGGCCTCGCTTGCTGCGAGCGGGTCGCTGACGGATGTTTCCGGCCTCGCTCCCTGCTTGTTTGTCTGTCTTCCGTTCTGAATACCGCAAAACTTCTGCATGTATACACGGCCTCCAGCGCGAACTGGTTAACAGTATTTTAGTTTGAAAACCTGCTGAATGCAACAACATGCAGTAGTTGTCAGAATGACAAGCCTGCCCAGTGAAGTGAGATCCATCAGGTCAAAAGTCTCATGGCTGGAAAATGCCTCAGAGTCTGTGGTCACCAACTGCAGCAGGATACAACAGCAACATTGTTTGATGGGACTAGCTAGCTCTCATTGCTTCAGAATTGCAGTTTATGCACCAAGGTTGAAGGCTCAGTACAGCAAGGTCCCACAGAAGTTTAGACCTGATGCACTGTGTTGCGTTTGGCAGGGTTACGGTTAAACAATTCTGTTAACTTTCTGATCAAATATGTTCTTGTGTTAAAATATTTGTATATATATATAGTCAGATATTTACAGTACTGTGGAAACACTAATTCATTTCAAGGATTTTACTTTGTCTGCAACAACATTCTTAAATCTTAGGTTTTGTCCTTCACCGATGTATAAACACTGTGTACTCAGTGTGTTACCTCCTGGGTGAAAGTTGGGACTCGAACCCATGACCTCCTGCTTTCTAGTGCAGACGTCTTACCACTCGACTACCGAGCTTGCGGGATCGGTTGGCTGGTTTGAATCTAATGTACATGTAGCAGTGGGTACCGCTATAATCTATTCATAAGAACAACATTGTTATCTTAAATTTTCATCCATACTTTCGTTTTTGTTTTTCTCTTATCATGACAACAGTGGTACGTCCAAGCAGCATGCGCGACGCAAGGCACCGGACTCTACGAGGGTCTAGACTGGTTATCGGAAGAGCTGGCTAAGGCGTTCACTTAAACTCTTGTCTCTGCTTTATGTCTCACGTGTCCTGTCCTCGAGTGTGACTTATCTGTGTAGAGCTCACCTATGTACAAAATGTTTTCATTCTTTGGGGCCTTCAAATGTTTTGTTTGTTTGAGTGTGTGCGTCAGTGCTAATGTTGATTTTGTTATCATTAACCCTAACTCCCTAGCGTGATTTACTAGGAACCATACCCATCCTGGCAAATTCCAACACCATATGGGAAACTGCACACATATTTTTGACTTTGATTCTTGAGGTGTGCCAACCCAATGTAAAAGACTGTCAGTTTAGGGGTACTGCACCCATCCCGACAGATTCCAACAAAACATGCCGTTGGGTTTTGATGGGTTGAGTTCTGTTAGGGTTAACGGGCAGGCTCCGTGCACGACTCCAAGATCGTGAGGTTAATGCATCAAAATCACTCTTTAGCAAGGGTGCTTGAGTAAGGGGGAATTTATTGCTGTGCACAACAGTCATCCGCATACTCAATCTGCTCACCATTTCCGTGCAGTTTTCTTGGTTTTGAGTCGCGCAAACACTGGTTTGCGCTTCACGTGCTACCTGTGCCATGACAAGCTCCCTCGCTTGTCTCTCACAGGCCACATACCGCCCTCTACAGATGCTGCCTGGAGAGTATGAGTTGAGTAACGTGTCCAAAAAGCATTAATTTGCAGTAAACAGCCGCAATGTAATTTGCATCACAGAAGGCAACGGTTATCATCAATAGTAATCATCAGATACAATTGTTGCTGTCTGAAAGTTTTGCTACCCTTGTTACTGCATGACCTCATCCAGACGCGAAAATCTGAAAGGGTAACAAAGTCAATATTTTTTTAATTGCGTACAGATACTCAAAACAAAGCAAGGAAAATTGTTAATTTTCTTTCTTTCTTGATTTTTTGTTTAGTGGGAGTCGGTCACAATTGTAATATCAGATTTAAAATGACCATATGTATGGGTTGATATTTTGATTTGGCTTAAACTGTAGATTTGTGCCTCTAATCCCCAAAACAGACACCCAATTGTCAATGGTAACGCCTTTCAAAACAGCAAAGCTTTACTCTTTCTTATTGGTGTCAATCTTAGGTTGAGAACCACCTCCTGAAGTCTTGTAAATTCTCAGTTTCTCAGAATTTGAACCAAGAAGTATCCTGAACCCTCCAAAATCCACCACTGTGTAGGAATCCAATGGCACACTCTTTGTACCTACCAAGTTTCAAGGGGCATCAAGCCCCATGTAAAGTAATACATGTAGTAGCTTGGCTCTGCCTTCCCCAATCCTACACAATTCTCCACTGTGCAGGAACCCAGTGGCACACTCTTTGTACCTACTAAGTTTCAAAGGCAAAGTCACTGGTCTCCACCTTCCTCAATCCTACATAATCCTCTGTGCAGGAACCCAGTGGCACACTCTCATACCAAGTTTCAAGGGGCATCAAGCCCCATGTAAAGTAATAGTTGCTGGGCTCTACCTTCCTCAATCCAAAATCCTCTGTGCAGGAACCCAGTGGCACCTCTTTGTACCTACCAAGTTTCAAGGGGCATCAAGCCCCATGTAAAGTAATAGTCGCTGGGCTCTACCTTCCTCAATCCTACATAATCCTCTGTGCAGGAACCCAGTGGCACACTCTAATACCAAGTTTCAAGGGGCATCAAACCCCATGTAAAGTAATAGTGGCTGGGCTCTACCTTCCTCAATCCAAAATCCTCTGTGCAGGAACCCAGTGGCACCTCTTTGTACCTACCAAGTTTCAAGGGGCATCAAGCCCCATGTAAAGTAATAGTAGCTGGGATCCACCTTCCTCAATCCTACAAAATCCTACAGGATGTTCCAGAGGATTTTGTCGATTTGTGAGGGTCTCAGCTTTAGGAGCGGTGAATGTTTAATGGCGCGATCAAATTATATAGGGGGCGTTACACGCCCCGAAACTGTAAGATATATTACTCAGGCATGCAACTGTAAATTCACCAAAAAAGAGGAAATTCCTAAATTCAGAAGACTTTGTACAGTGATTTTCAATTTTGAATGGTAGAAATGAGAATAAAAAAAAAAGAGGAAATCAGCTGATCCGAGGAAAAGTTGCATGCCTGATTACTCTAGCTATTCATGTTGGCTTACTGTTCAGTAGTGTAGTAAAGCATGGTTTATTTTTTATTTTTTGGTCGTCTTGTTTATTTTAATATCTAGATGTTGGAAACTTTTCATGTGTATCATGCCACAGGGGCGGTTTTTGAAGTTACTTGTATTTATTGTATACTAAAGGAATCATTTGCTTACAAGATTTCTGTTTATTTTTTTTTGGGGGGGGGGGATATTGTTTTGTTCTCGTGTACAAATGTATTTCTTTATGATTGCTAGCTCCCAATCCATCACAAAATAAGTTGGTTTGTCGTTGCGCTTTTGTCGTTTAAGTGCTTAATCCCAAGTGTTTTTAACGTCATGTTCAGTCTTTCCCGCATCAAATTCCTTGGCACCAAAACAACTTCATTTCAGTCTCTCCCACTCCTATATATGCACCCCCCCCCCCTCCATTTGGGTTGTGAAGAATACCATGAAGAATTGAAGATGATGCGCAACGGAATTCCAGTGTTGTTGTAAAAGGCCCAAAACCTCTTGGAAGATCGACAATTTTTTATTGAAAATTTCCATAAACATTTAAATTACCCACTGTTGCAATTATTGGGGTACCAATTCTGAGGCTGTACAAAAGTGGTCATGTACATTGAATTTTGCAGCATTCTTATCTTTCAAAAAAGATCTATATATTGTATGGTGTATGTACGAACACTAGGTTGTAACAACGTATCGTTTGTTTTGGTTAAAAAAGAAAAAAAGAGTAGGCAAGGCTGAAAAAAAGGTTGTTCACAGAGCACACAATTTTTTTTTCATTTGCAATTGATTCAGAATGGTTATTTACTGGAAGTCTTTTCATTTCCTCTGGTCTACACAGTTGACTGGCGTTAGCTAATTCAGTGGCATGATGGGGTAATCCTATACAATAGCACTGCCCGATTCACACAAGTGACAGTGAGTTTAGTCAGTCAGTCAGTGAAATGAGTACAGAAATATGGCCCCTAGGACCAGTACAATTTCCAAGGTAGTCGACACGGTCAAATTAATCTACATTTCAAAAAAATTGAAATGTGGTGTCCGATTTTTTTTTTTTTAAATATGTTTGTAGCTCCCTTTTTTCTTGTCTTGTTCAAGGGAATAGTAATTCTTGTACTTTACTCAGTGCACGTCTTTATGAAATGTATAAATAAAAGCTTTATTGGTTGTTTTTTTTTGGAAAATTTGTAGTAAATGTAGTTGTCACTGTGTACAGTATGCATGAAAACTTAGTCAATTTTACTGGCGTTCATGGAAGGACTTCAGTATTTTAAGAGGCGGCGGTTGTGTAAAACTTTTCGATATGGTTTGTATTTTGGACAACAAATTTTACCCATCCCATCTTTGTCATGTTGTACATTCCATTTTGGGAAAACCAGACAACCGTAAACACGAAACGGCAGTGGTGCATTTTCCATTATATTCCCCCTTCAAAATATTGTCTGCAGTTATTCCACAATCTCCAAATTCTTTCTTGAAAATATTTCACGCCAATGTGCCCTTCCCTTTGTTTATGTAAAAAAAACACACGGTAAAAGCTGTAGATATAAGCTAAAACTGGTAAAAAATAAAAGTGTGCTCATTTAAGTATGTTGCACCAAAAATACTTCACGTCATAAAGTTCGAGTTTTTACAGATAGTAGCCATGTCAGGAAAGAGCATTTATGTCAGTGGCTGCAGCTATTTCATGTACCTAATCTGTGGTAAAACCTGTAGCCACAGCCATTAAGTACCCATTTTAGATAAAGCCTGTCCTGTCCAGTTAATGTATTTAGTCGGGTAACTTGATACATGCATACTGAACTGACATTTTTTTTGCAAACTTACATGTGTAAAATGGTACTTGTCTTATGACAGAAAAAGGATCCCATTTTGATGACATGGTTCTCAATAAATTACCATCTTTATTTTAATTCTGTATCAATTGTTTCAAATTTGTGAATTATTTCTAATATGTGAATTATTTTAGAAAGATGCAGATGTTCTGATAAAGGGACTAAATGTGTGCTTGGCCAGTTTGAAACACTTATAAATGTTTAAAACCGGCTGGAGTCTAGATGCTGATAATTACCTGAGCTGAAACAAGTCAAAAATTATTTCAACAATTATGTTCAACAAGTTCAGTTCATGTTTTTCGAAACGCCCCTCTTTCTATATTATGGTATGTCCTGCTACAACTCCTAACCTTATAAGGAGATTGATTGGCGCGCGTGGTGGTGGCGCAGAATGCAGCTGTGCCGGTGTAGTGTGAATTTCCGATTATGAAAAACTGACTCACTGGTAGTACTGCGCATGCCTACGTGAGGATTGTGAACGTTCAACCAATGAAATGGTAAAAGGCACCGGATTTCATAGGAGTCCAACATCATGTGACACTAGAAAGTGTTTAAGACCAGCCAGCTAGTCTTTATCAACTGTTTAAAGCTGGTCATGTGACAGTCTCGACCAATATGAATCGGGAAAACTTGGCCTTAGGTATTTATGATTAAGAGCGTAAAAAAACCCTTTTTTATTTACTTAAACATTGGATGAGATGAAAGTTGAAATGAAGTTGAAACCTCCCATTTGTATTGTAAACAAGCACATATGAAAATTGTTCACCATGTGAAGGGCTTTTCCCCAGCCTTATCACAATTAATTTTTAAATTACTACCACAAATCAACACAAAACATTCTGCTGCTACACGATTTGTACATTTTAATACAACTTTTCTGTACAAGTGAACTGTTAAAAAATTAATTGCACATAATATGTGCTCAGAGTATTCTGTCTGCCCTGCGTTGTGCTACAGACTTCTACGACTCAAAATCTTTTCATTGATGTTTTTAGTTTTCTTACACATCAGAGCAATGACCATACAGAGTTAAGAGAGGTACTTTTCTTCAAGGGATGGCAGGCTTTAGATCTTGTGAAATCTTGTGAACGTATTCTCCCTTAAAAAAAAAACCACCTTAATTTAGCAAACATTTACGGAGGCTTTGTTGAAATAAAGTAATAGAGCATAGATTCTTACTGTTATATATCATATGGGTCATTCTATAAATTAAAGGTAAAAAGAAAAACGTTTTTCCTGTCCCTGTTACCTTGGTACTTTGTAATTTGCCATTACAAGTATCATTAAGAATGATTTTAGACCATTTTTTGGATTGCCTGTTTTTTAATTTTATTTTATTGCCTGTTATGTTATATTTCATTTTCTCAATGTAGAATTTATAGAATTTACTTTCTATGTAGAAAGGGTGACAGCTCCTTTGGACATATTTTTGTATCGGTAAAAGAGTCAAGAGTCAAGAAAATGGAAGAATCCATCTGTCATCTTGGAACATACTCCATCTTGGGTGGAAAAAGGGGGCAGCCTCCATCATTTTTTTTCTCAAAAAGCCCAGGCGAGAAATCATTTCCCCCCTTGCTTGGCCTTCCAGACAGGCATGGAACTGGGAATTTAGAAAAAAAAAACGAGGATACTCCAAATCATAAGACTTTGTGCAGTATTTTTCAATTTGTAATGGCATTCATGACAAGTAAAACACGAAGAATTTAGCGGATCCCAGGAAAAGTTCCATGCCTGTATTGATCAATGATAGGTTCAGTGGCGGCAATTATTGCAAAGCTATATAATGAAAAACTACAGTCTGAGATGTGTCCGGACCTTTGTTCTGGTAGATGTTATCAGAGCGCGAGGAACTAAGCCTCTGTACTGACGACGTAACACTTATGTTTACGTGTGTGCTTTTCTATGGGACTACAAAATCGTCCTCACTAGGCTCCCATAAAAAAGCACAGGTGTATTTGTGACGTCATCAGTACACAGGTTTATTGTCCACAGTAAAAACGCATGTTGGTGTCTCTGGGTGTTGAGGCTTACAACTACCATCTTGGAAAAACCTGATCTGAAGTTGGTATCATCCTGGCCGACTTGAATTCACTTAATCTGTAAGTAAATCGTGGAACATATCCTGAATTAAATCCTGAATTATATCCTGTATTAAATGAAACAAAATCTAATATCTAGGTATTGAACTGAATGCAACAATAAGCATGAGTGTTATTTTGATATTTGACTGATATTTGAATGTTCGGTACATTTGGCGCAGCCCTACAAGGCAAATGTGCATATGGTTGATGATAGTATACACATATTGACTGCTTCGAGTGGCATAGTAAAACTAGACTCCCGAGGTGATCCATTCAGCATTCTATTTTTCCCGAAGCAAAGCCCAAGGAAAATATAATGCTCCATGGATAACCGAGGGAGGCTAGTTTGACTACACCACGAGATAAAGCAGTCAATATTTGTTTTATAACACCTCTCCCGCAGATTCTGCCTGATTTCAATTGATAACTGATTAATTTAATCTAAATACTAAAGTGTACTTATATTTGAATACAAAATTAGTTGAAAATTTACTAGCACTTTTCCAAACTATCCCTTCACGAAATGTTTGAATCCAGCTCTGAAGCGCAAGCGCTTTGGAACAATATGTACAACCCACACACCCGTATGCATTTGCACACAATACCGGTTCTCATGCATAGTAATTTGGTTCCTACGGGTATAGTACTTTTGGCCGTGTACGGCAAGATAGCAAAAATAGCAAATGCCATGTGACTCGCTCTAAGCCAATCAAGATACAGAATCTGTGGGTGAGGCGTTATAATCCAGTTTACAACTCTCCTGAAACAAGCAGGGGCCAATTTCACGGCCCTGCTAATCACAAAAATTTGCTTAGCACAAAAAAAAGTCTGGCTTATAAAAAGCAGGTTACCAGCTAAAACTCCACATGATGTACATTGCTCTTAATCAGTACTCGGCTGTTGTTTGCTTAACATGAAAATTGCATGGAGTTTTGGCTGGTAACCTGCTTTTATAAGCCAGACTTTTTTTTGTGCTAAGCAACTTTTTGTGCTTAGCAGCGCTGTGAAATTGGGCCCAGGTCCAGAGGGTGTCATTTCAACTGACCGTGTATTTGTCCCACTTCTTCTCTGGATCGTACGGTTCCCAGCGGCTGGCAGGGAAGATGTGTTTATTGCGTTCAAACCAGCTCCTCAGCACCACTTTACCTGCATGGGACTGGATAGGGAAAGTGTTCCAAGTATGAAAAGCTGGGATAAACCACAATCATAAGCCAATCACACTTAAAGCTAAAGTCCATCATTTGCAGCTATCCGAAAAGTAGCTAGCGTAATTATTGTTGAAAAACATACTTGGTTGAAAGATAGTAAGGGGACTAAACTCCCTGTGAAATTATTCTTTCTGGCAAGCTGTCATTTTGAAGTAATCAATGAAAGAAGGCCTTTCCAACGGTGCTTCTTAAGAAGCACCGTAGGAAAATTTAAATTAGTAGTTCGTTTTGTTATTCGGCGAAGTGCGCGCAATCATTGGCACGACGCACACGCGCGCGCGGCTGCTATAATTTGTCGGATCGCTGCGCAACATCGCATAGCTGCAATCGGCTCAGCGAGAACGTGTTTCGGACGCTGAATTCAGGCGCAATTCAAAACATGATTCAGCAACTGTTGATTTGGAAATTGAGATCCTAGAATGCTGTTTTTCTCGGAATATACAGCTGAAGCTGAGCTGAAACTTCATTAGGTTAGTTGTTCAGTACCCTTCTTTAGATTTTGAGCACTTTTGTTGCTTCAAACGAACAAAATGCACAAATTACAAATGATGGACTATAGCTTTAAAGGGCCCATGCAATGTATTTTTTTTAGGATGCAATCCTTGAAAATGCAGTCCTTTGTGTCCCATTTAACCTTATTTTCAGTTTTTGTTTTGCCATTTCAAGGATATTTTGGTGCCTTTTTGATTTTTATGCTAATGCCAATTTCCATATTCATGAGCAAAATGTCATTCCAGGCAGAAACCTCAATGTAACAGCCATTTCAGCACCAAAAGTTTCCAGAAGTTTGGATAGTTTGCTGTTGTAAATTTCCTTTTCTTTGGTGATTCGTTGTTGTGTCAGTCGATGGCAGTAAAACCAATGAGCAAACTTTTCTCACAAATGTTTTCAATTAACAAATGTTGGGGTTCACATTTTGAACAGAAAACCTCTTTAACTGAACAGTGTCTTTCTGGAATGACATCAGAGTTGTCTGGAAAGCATGGAAATTGAATATGTTTAAAGAAGTGCACTTTGCAATAAACATTTAACAAAAAAAGGGAGGTAAAATAGTTTTCATACATTTAAGAGGACTGGAGTGTTTCACAAAATGTGTTCCTATGAAAAATTCATGTTATGAACCCTTTAAAGTGAATATACAACATTTGCAAACATCGAAAATAAAACTACCAAGTTTTTACGAAATACCTTACTAGGATGTTGGTAAATGACAGTCTCAAGCATCTTGTAAAATTATGGCACCTGGTGTGAAGTCATTTTCAAGAAAATGGTATTTTTGTAAACATTTCCAACGGTGGTCGGCCGACCAGCGTTGGAAAAACCTAACTATTTTTCAACTACTGCTCCAAATTTACAATTTTTTTCAGTCCAAATTTTGTTTGTTATTGGTTACATGTTCATGAATGGGTGCAGGCCAGCTAGACTGGTTCCCTTACCTTACAATTTTCCGGCATCTATAAATTGATCCATTTCATCTTTAGTGGAGTCAGGGAACCAGACTTCTTGAAAATTCTTGTTTTTCTTGGTGTTTCCAGCATTTTCGAACACCAAACTTCAAAAATGTCAGTGTAACAATATTTGATCTATTAAACTAACCTCTCAAATAGTTCATTTCTGAAAATTACAGCAAAAGCCAAAGATGTACATTCCCTTTAACAGGGTCCCCACAATGGCCACACCCAGAATGGCTACATCCTCTCATATTAGCCACACCCTCTCACAACGGCTACACCCTACCACAATGACCGTACCCTCCCACAATGGTTGCACCCTCCCACAATGACCACACCCTCCCACAATGGCCATACCCAGAATGGCCACACCCTCCCATATTAGCCAGACCCTCCCACAATGGCCACACCCTCCCACAATGGCCACGCCTCTTCAAGAACAGCCAACCGAAACCTCTATCAACCCTTGTTCCGCCCATCCATCAAACCCTGAATGAACCAATCATCATACCTCGTCCTTCTCCACGGATGCGTCGTTTGTCAGCCTAATGTCGTCGTGAACGTCAAAACTGAAGAGAGGACCTGTGTGCAAAAGAATGACAATTATATAAAAATAATTATATAAATAATTATAATTAGTAATTATCCTTACTTCTCAAAACTAACACTTCTGGAGTTGAAAGTGTTGGAAAAACAAAACTTCCCCTCCCCCCCCCAAAAAAAAACCCCACAACTTATAACAAACCCCCAAAACCCAAAATTCGACAATTGGCACAAAGAATTTGGGGCCTCTGTAAACTCACTTGGACTGTTTTAATGTGAAAAAAATGTATATATTCTTACCACTTTTTCCTCTTGCTTTCGTGACAATGAAATCATAGAATGAGTAATGCTGTGGAAAATAAGAAAAATAAAAATATAATAAATCAATCAATTGTAATGCATATATAGCTCTTTCCACCATATCAACAATCTCACAGCACTTTACAATTATTCCCCCTCCCCCGTTCATCTGGGTCATGAGACCACGCGGCAGCCGGTATCAGCCCACAATCAGTCCTCGACCCTCACAGGTACCCATTCATACTCCTGGGTGGAGAGAGGCAATTGTAGTTTAGTGTCTAGCCCAAGGGCACAAACACCATGTTCCTGGCAGGGTTCGAACCCACGTACCATCGCACATGAGCCTAACACCGTAACCACTTGACCATGGCATAAAGGAAGTTATAGATAATCAGAATGGTGCAGGATGTTCAATACACAATTTAAAGAAAATCTGTAACATTTAGTAAGTGCAAATGGTGATTTTTGTTTGCATCTTTGAATCAACTGGAAGTGGAAACTGACTAGGTTTGCTTTGAAAAGTAGAAACTGCAACCTCTACAACTTTTTCCAACTTTTTCCCAGACAAACAGATTTTGAGTGCCCCCCCCCCCCCGGAAGAAATACATCGTGTTTTGGTAACATGGAGCTACAATCCCGGCCAAAATGGTTGGGACACTTCCTGAGCCTGCCACGGTCTCTCACTCCCCCGCTCCCCTGGTCAATGTTGATCTCACCAGCTGATGGAGCACACACCGCGCAATGAGAGACAGCATTGAACGGGGGCCGGGGGGTTGGGGGCCCAGCGAGATTTGGCCAGGATTGTAGATGCAAGGAATCACTCACATGGGGTATGATCAGGTCCTCCTTGATGTACATCATCTGCTCTACTGTCACTGCCCTGCCAACAAAATAATATTGAAATGAGAGATCAAAAGATGCACTCAACAAAACAGAGTAAGAAAAGTAAAGCCTGGTATCTCACTAAGTCAGTATTAGGAGGCTTTGTGTGGTGGAGAGTACAGCTTGACAGAAGTCTGCAGATGCACAGTATGAAAAGACAGGTGGTTTTGAGGAAAAAAACAGGTGTTATTTCAAAGCTTCAGCTCTCCTGTATCAGGAGAACTAGGTTTTTGTTCCGGAAAACTTTCTTGAGGTAATTTGAGAAGTTTGCAATTAACAAAGTGAACAAAAGTCATGAGCTTATTGGCCTCTTAACCGACAACCATAACAGCAACATACCGGGGAAAGGGACAATGTTTTGGAAATGTTATCTTGGTGACACTATATATACAAAATATACTTCGATCTAAACCACAACATCTAGACTACAATTGCATATATTTTGGTTGGGCACATTTTGGCAAGTTGATTAAAAAACCAAACCAACCCCCCCCCCCAAGAAAAGGGATGACTGTTAGATCAGTTTTTGGTTTCTTACTTTAATTCGTGGAAATCTTTCTTGAGCGTCTCCAGACATCGCTGTAGAAATCTTTGCATTGTGTCCCCTTTCTTCATCTGTGAACACAATGTCAAACAGGGACTGAATGAATATAAAGATCATACCTCATTTATTTCAGTATTCAGTAGACTGGTCATAGAATGAAAACCGCTGATGGACTCCAAGCACAACGCAATCCTCAACAACAAAATGACAAGGGAAGGGAGCAATTTTTAAGGACTCATAGGCATGATGAGAGGATGTTGCCTCTCATCATACTAAGTGTATAGATACATGTACATACCTTACTGATATACAAATATTGAGTGGCTCAATGTGGAATGGGAGGAATATTATCGCAAGGTAAAATCTGGACGTTTCCATTTCACGAGGCGAAGCCGAGTGAACTGGAAATGTCCAGATTTTACCGAGCGATAATATTCCTCCCATTTCACAATTTAAAGCCACTCAATATTTGTTTTTATATAACTGACATATACATCCTTGTCATTTGATATATTTGAACGTTTATTTCAATACAAAACTGGAAGAAAATGTATTTCTCTCTTTCAAACCACCCCTTCACGAAAATGTTTGAACCCAACGCTGTAGCGCTGGCTCTTTGGAACAATACGCGTCTACGCGCAACGCTGAACGCGCACATCAGCATGCATTTGCACACAAATACCGTGTCATGATCCGAACTGTTCAATAGTATTTCCCATTCCCCATGGGCGGAAAGTACTTTTTGAGCCGCGGCGTGAATGGGAGCAATAACGAATGTCACGTGATGTGAGTTCCACCAATCAAATGACAAGGATCTGTATGTCAGTTATATAATATGACGTGGCTGCCACTACAGCCAAAACATACATGTCATGAGCTGCTTGGTGCAGATATGATGCAAGTCGACCACATCTTGCCAAATATTGTTTTATTATCAGTGATATCAACTCATGATAACCTCTTTCCAATTAAAAAAAAAAATACTTCCGAGGGAACAAATAGGAGAATTACAGTAATGAAAAGGGATGGCCTTTAAGGCCCCCAAAAAAGTCTCCGGTTTCTGGTATGGAGCTTGCCCAAAAAGTGGTGCGGCGATGCAGCTTTTTTTTTTTTTTACCTGATTTTTTTGCTTCAAATGTCGGCTGATGACTGCAAATGGTGCCCGACTAAACTTATTGCAAATATATGGGAGTCCAGAGAGGCCACATAAAGCTTATTCTCGACCATAACCCAATCTAAAAACACGTTAAAATTGTGCAGCAGCAGGATTCCAGTCAAACCAGTGAGTTTGGCGGTTTTGAGACATCATCTTTCATTGAAAAAAAAAACTTTTTCATTTTGCCGACGCGCATGGCTACGGTGACGCGCGCGCATACCAGAAACCGGAGACTTTTTTGGGGGGCCCAATAGCTGGTTTACAAAATTGAGCCCTTGTGTTTTACCTTAACGCTCCGCCTGTGCCCTGAGCCGTCCCAGTAGCTGTAGGTTATTTCAATATCATCATCTGAAAGGCAACAAATTCCAGTGAAATTTTTCGTTCAGTCTGTTTTCTCGTATACATTTACCTCATGTCTGGTTAATGTTCCATGAGCTTAACAATTGGGTGCAAGTTCGAGTAACGCCCCTATCAATTGTTCTCCCCCCCCCCCCAACCCAAGATGTGGAGTTTGTCGCTTTGAAAGTGATTAAATCCCCAACCCTGGGCATAAAATGTAAGCGACATTCTGCGACATTCTGCGACATACATGAACTGGGAGCATTGAACTGATTGCCTTTCCATCTACAGGGCGGTCCAAAGAAACGTTTACACTTTTTCAGATGCAAATTTCTTGGAATTGGGGAGACACGTTTAAATGGTTTCAAGATATTCCTAAACTACAGTATCTTACTACAGAAAATACAGCCCAAATGAAGAAATGGCGATGGTTTAGTGAAAGATGGTCAAAACATCTGTAAATGGCCGCTATTTCTAAACGTGAGCTTTATTTTCAATGCCGTTTCCACCATATACGACCAAGATCTTGTACTGTGGGAATTTCTTATAGCTATTTCAACATGTTTCTTCAATTTTGACAAATTTATTAGCCTCTGAAAAAGTGTAAAACTTTTGTTTTGGACCATCCTCTACAGTGCGTCAATGGTAAAAATGTTTGTGATTCACCCAAATCCCCACCTTTGGGGCTTGTACAACTTGACCATACCCTAGAATAAGACCTGGGGTAGCGTGGGTGGGGGTGGGGAGGTGGGGGAGGGGGAAAACAATTGATAGGTGCATGGCAAAAAGTAACATTGTGAATGTACCAACGTTCTTTTTAACCAAACATCACAGTCTTACTTTTGATCATTTCCTGTTTATCCTGCCATTCTTGTCTCAGCTTTTCCCTCTCTCTGTTTTCCTCTTCCTACTCAGACAAAAGGAAATATAAAGGAAAGAGTTTATTTAATGCAATACAAAAATTAATAAAATTAACATCAATACTTAAATTTCTTCCTATGAATTTGTTATCGTGCGTCTGGGACGCTAAATATAAATGACCCTGGTGACCCCTGACCTCTCTTTCTCTATCCGGCAGGAAGCTGGTGTCCACGTCGGGATTCTTGCCCAACTTCTTCTTCTTGATGACTGGTTGGGAGTCTGAAATCAGACAAAAAGGAAGGAAAAAAAAAAAAAAGAGAAAGATACAACGGGTCAAACCAACACTTAGAGGCAACTTTTCATAATTAAATAAAACGCGAGTGGTGCAATGCCATAGTGTAAAGTTATGTAAAAATCCATTACTGGTAGAACAAGGGATAACCTAACAACAAGGCAAGCCTGGTGAAGATTGTCCCAAAATGCCAAACAAACAAAAACCCACAAAAACCCCAAAATAAAACCACTAAATGTGTTCATGTGTTTCAGAATGGATCATCACAAGAATCATTTTCATGCGAGTGTGCGCTCAATGGGCCAGATTGAGCTCATTCAATGGCGTTACGGGGTAATCCTACAAAATAGCACTGCCCGGCTCACAAGTGACAGTGAGTGAGCTAGATAGGTACAAAGAAGACACGAAGCTGGCCCTCTGGGACCAGCACAGATCAACTCCTCCAGTGTGACAGACTACATGCATACCTGCTTCCTCTTCCTCATCCTCTTCTCCATCTTCGTCGAGGTTGAAAGACAGCGTACTCGTGACTTTGTTTTTCTTTTTCTTCTTCTTTTCTTTTTCACTGTGACATAACAAGAACCAAAATACAAAATCAACCTTGTTTTACAACATTCTTGAGACTTTACCTTGTATGGGATAGGTTGAGTCTTGCAAGAGCCTGAAAACTGAGATCTAAAGGCATATAGGATCATTCGCAAAAGTAACCTACCAAATTATTATAAAAGATATTACCTGTATTAAAGATCAGACTGGTACTAAACACCCTGTGAAGACATCAAGAAATGTGTGTGATTTCCAATGATCAGTCAACTGACCGATTTTTGGAAGTAAAGAGTGCTATTAACAAAATCGTGTTTCGTGATCAAAAGGTTGCGCATGGCTTTTCTCTCCGTTCTCGAAAAAGTGCAATATCCACCGAGCTGAAACTTCAACAGGTTAGGTTTTGAACGGTCCTCTTTGGATGTGAGTGGTGTTATCATTGGAAACAAACAAAATGCATTAACCCTAACCCCCAACAGGTTTTCTCTAGGCACCCTGCCAAATGCAACAAAATGCAACTTGGCTGAAATAGAACCCTGCTAAATGCAACAAATTGCAACAGTGGATTCTGTTGCACTGTGCAGTGAACCCAGTGCATACCAGCCTTGGCACCGAGCAGTTACCCTGCTAAATGCAACCAAATGCAACAGTGAATTCTGTTGTATTGCCTTGGCACTATGAGCAGTTACCCTGCTAAATGCAACAAGATGCAACAAGCACGGGGACTTGAGTTGCCAGCTAAATGCAACAGTATGCAACACTTTTTTACCTTTGTTGCATTTCCGTTGCATTTAGCAGGGTTAGGGTTAAATGGTTCTGATGATAAAACAGCCCAATTCAGAAGTGTTGAATCCTGCGGGTAACTGATCTTACACTTTCTCTAGGGCAGAGTTGGCCTTGGCAAGTTCCTTTTCATGTTCTTGGACGAGGACGTCCCTCCTTGCTTTCATCTCATCCAGCGTCACCAGGCCTGTTTGAAAAAAAACAAGAACAAGAAGCATTCAGAATCATGCTGGCAAAATCTACAAATAACTACTCCCAGAATGTTTTTTTGAAGAAAAAAAAGTTTCATTTTTGTCACAATTATACATCCGTGCACAAATAAGAGAGAGTGCTTTTGACCACTTTTGCGAGCCTAGCAGGCAGGACAAACCACGCGGGCATACCGGGTCGTGTGCGTATAGCGCGAAGTACGCACGACTAATTTGGTTCTGAATGTGCACAAAGCCATAGTTTCTTCGTGTGAGGATCAGGCGTCGTCGGCAATGCGTTTGAATGTCTCTCCCAGTGGTCTCCCCTAACTCTCCCTTTCTTACCGCTGAGGGGGTACTTGTGCATGCAGCCCATAGTATATAACAGAAATTACAAAAAAAAAAAAGGCATTTCCTTAACCGTAACCTTTCCGAATCCTCCAAAAAGGCTCTTTGCAAAATGCTTTTACAGGATGCACCGTGTCAAAGTCTTGGGCCGGACCTTGTGTTGTTTATGCTCAGCCGTGCAAAAATTTTGGCCTAGCTTATACTTGAAATCCTCCGCACTGCTCCAGGATGTCACTGGCTCTGCCTCAACATAGTGACAGTGATTGCTGGAGGATTTTGCAGGATTGAGGCAGAGGTCACCCCTCCAAGGACCACATTCAAGAAATAACAAAGGATTTTGCAGGATTGAGGTTGCATCCTAGCAAAAATGCCTATGAGGGAGTTAGAGTTAATAAATGTTATTTGTCAATGTATTTCTTTATATTCTTTGATTTTTTTTTTCTGGGGGGGGGGGGAAACATCTCCTTACCTATGGTACTGCTTTTGAGCTGCTGTTCTACGGCATCATAGTGGGCGGTGAACTTGGCACTGATCGGAGCTACCTTGCTCAAATTTTCCTTCAAGAAAGCAATCACAAATTTAAATCAACTCATGAATTTTTTTATAAGATATTAAATTACCACCATCGTTCTAGCAGCCCGGGTAGCAGAATGGATGGCGTGTCTGATATGTAAATGAGGGATCCCGGGTTCAATACCCCACATCGTGCTCATTCGACATTTTCGGGTTTTTTTTATTGCAAATAGGCCTAATATAATATAAATAACAATATTCTTCTTTTATTATTTTAAATGGACTCCTACATTTATTTGCAGAGTGTTTTCTTTTTCTGATTCGTGGCTCTGGAGGATTTTTTTAAGGGACATAAAGGGAAAAAATGTTGCAACCTGACGCCACTTTTTTCTTCATATATCATCTCAATAAAGGTCAGTCATTGCAAAAATGATAAGACATGAATCTGGGACTGAGAAACATTCCCAATTTTGTTAGGAAATACTTAGAAAATTTTCTTGACTCTCCGTAGACTTTGTACACAACTGCTGAAGTGGCGTCAGGTTGCAACATTTTTTCAAAATAAAGATTTTGAAATTGTAGATGGTCTGATTTCCATCTCGTGAATACGAAGTCACAAGGACAATAGCACCGTAAACGAGGATATACATATAGCCACGCTCCAGAGTTGCGTAGAAACACTCGACGCACGAGATTGTGCAAGTACCCGGATGGCTCCTACCAACTATTTCGCGCATGCATGCCTTGGACTTGGAGTACCAGCATACCATGCGTAACCTCAGAAAATCAAAAGTTTTGCTTGTACGTTTCTTGTTGAGGCGAGGTCGTTTTTCCCCCTCAAATTTCTTGGCAATACAAAATCCTACGCTCACGTGATTTTACAGAAAGCTTTCTACGTAAGTATAATACTGCCGAAATGACGTGCCGCGTGACAATTTTGAGTGTATTTTATGCGAGGCTGGAGCGTGGCGTTGTTTTGACGCCACGTTTATGGGTCTGATGTGAAACCAGACTAGTCTAGTAATTAGTATACTATTACTAGATTTGTCACAGTAGAAATGAAGCCGGATCCGGCTAAATATCCACTGCCTTTATCATGTTTATGGCACGTTTTTTTACCTGCTCAATTTTTTGTTTCAACTTTTCCATGTTTTCCTTCTGTTTGTCTCTCTTCTTAATCAGCTGCAGTGCGCGGCCTGCCTCACTTGCTGCTCCCTTGTACTCCGTCATTTTGGTGAAGTTGTGCTTACCCTGCCTCAGGTTAAAGAAATTCAGAAATTACTTCAGAGTGATTCGATATTTAGATCTCTGCTGCTGTTTTGTTGCTCGAAATATCGCCCTCTGGTGTTGCTGAGTACGAACTCGAGTAATTAATTTGAACAAGAGAGGGCGCCCTGTGCTGAACGCAGTCTAAAAATGTAAATACAGAACTTTGTGAGCACAGAATGAGGCCGCGGTTAACTCTGAAAAGACTTTCGTGGCTAATTTTGAGTGTGTATCTTCTCTGTACTTGTTACGGTGCATATGTTTTACTCTCGCAGAAAGCCAGTGAGACTTCACAGTCGGGAAAGAGCTACAGAAAAGGTATTATAGTGCGATCTTTCACAGTTTTTTTTTTATGCACTCAACTAAAGGGGATGGGGGGGGGGGGGCCAAGGGGGGAGGTCTAAGTTGGGGGCGGGGTTTCATGGGAAGAATTCCATACGTGAACATCACTAATTTTGGAAAAAATTCCATACTCGGACGTCACTTTTTTCAATTAATTTTCTAGCGCCAAAAGTTACATCTTTTATGGTTATTCCTCCACTTTCCCTCCTCTACTCTCACCCTCTCCTTTCCTTAATTTCTATTTATTAATCAGTCAGTTACTTCATCGGGATTCGAACCTCTGACGCTTGCTTGACACACGAGACTCTTAACCGCTAGGCCGCGCACGATCGCTGTTGCAATAATCAATCTTTGGACGTATTTGAAGTATCCATTGAAATAAACTAAATATTCATGAGAAAATAAATATTCATAATGACGTATTGCACTATCATTGGCAGGCTCATGCGACGTCATGGTTGTTGATGTCACGTGTATAACGTACCGCTGTCTTTCAGCCACTACAATCAGTTTTGACCGGCTGCTTCAAGTTAGTTCTGCACGACGTATGCATCCAAAATGTGCTCTAAAAACACATTTTGAGTAAATTTTTTTCACCTTAACACAGCTTCCTGGATTTCTCTTGGTTCAAATGACAAGGTGAGGTGACAATTAATATGTTTGGCAGCAGATAAATTGGCATCCGAGTATGGAACTTTTCCCCTAATTTTTACCTGCAGTTACCCACCGGCCATCACAAAGCGATAACATGTCCTAAAAGTCAAATTTAGCAGGGAAAATATTGTTGAAGCATTTACTGAGAAAGCACTTGGGATTTTTCAGACCAGGATAGGGTTTGTGCACATGGTGTCAAGTGATGCTCAGGTATGGAACTCTTTCCGCAAACTCATCAGTGTCCCCTGACATATATTATGTAAACGTTTTCTTTCTGCATTTGATTTATGGGGCGCTGTGGTCCAATGGTTACGGTGTTCGACTCATGTGCCGTGGTACACGGGTTCGAATCCTGACCGTGGGAACATGGTGCTTGTGCTCCTGAGCAAGGCACTTTACCATTATTGCTTCGTCCTTCGGATGGGACGTAAAGCCGTAGGTCCCGTGTGTTGTGTAATGCACGTTAAAGAACCCAGTAACACTTGTCGCTAAGAGGAGGGGTTTGCCCCGGTGTTTCTGGCAGTGGCAGCAATTGTGCGCCGCAGCACCTAGCAAAAAGGTGCTTCATAATGGGTCTCATATGTTCATATACTTCATTTACCTGGCTTTGGTTGCATTCTCCCCCAGCGCTTTGTATCCTCTGGCAAAAAGCGCTATATAAATACAGTTATTATTATATTATTATTATTTAGGAGACTACAACTTGTATAGTGCCCTACAAACTTTTCTGCAAACTTCACTTTTGTTAAGTATTGTATTATTTTTTTGGCCCATGTATTATTATTTTGGCCCAGGCCCTACTATTTGTAATTTGTGTTTTCTGTCTTTTGCCATCAGCTGAAGGTCTTTCAGACAAATTAGAAGACAAGGTTGTACCTGAACCTGTCACCCATAAAAGCTTAAAGCTTCAGAGAGAGACAGAAACAAGACAGAATCTGAGGGAAACCAAAGACAACCACGGCAAAAATGTTGACATTAGCTCCAGCAAGGAAAATGCCATAGAGATCTGGAGCAGGGCTGGAGTTGGTGAGTAGTAGCGCCATTCTATGGCCAGGCACTGGACTCACTCCATGCTGAAGGCCATACTTCTCTGACAGGGAGAAGTTAATTTTGTGCCCAAATTAAGAGACCAATTACAACAGAAGGAATCATGAAGAAGTCCATATTTTGGCAAAATATGGACTGGCGTGGGTAAGTGAACCTGCATGCCGAGTTTGAGGCTGAATGATTTCCATGAAAAATAGAAGAAAATTTTCAGTAACTTCTCACTGTCAGAGCAGTATGGCCTTCAGCACAGAGTAAGTCCAGTGCGTGGTCATAGAATGGCCATAGAATGAGTAGCAGTCATAAGAAAAATCACAAGTCAATCTCAAGTTCAATCATAAGTCAATCACAAGTTAAGTCAAAAGTCAATCACTAGTCAAATCACAGGTCTTATCACAAGTCAGTCATTAGTCAATCATTTGTCAATCATAAGGAAACAAACAGGCCAAATCAGAAGTAAGTTACAAGTTAGATGGCAGGTCAGTCACAAGTCCATCACAAGTCAATCACAAGTCTTATAACATGCCCCTATCACAAGTAAATCACAAGTCAATCACAAATTAATCATTAGTCAGTCATTTGTCAATCATAAGGAAACTAACAGGCCAAATCAGAAGTAAGTTGCAAGTCAGATCGCAAGTCAGTCACAAGTCCATCACAAGTCAATTACAAGTTTTATAACATGTCCCTATCAAAAGTCAGTCACTAGTCAATCATTAGTCAGTCATTAGTCAATAATAAGGGAACTAACAGGCCAAATCAGAATCAGAAGTAAGTCACAAGTCAGATCGCAAGTCAGTCGCTAGCCAATGCCAAATCATTCCAAAGTAATTCACAAGACAATGACAAGTCAAATCACAAGTCAAACCACAAGTCACTCACAAGTCTTTTCACAAGTCAAATCACCAGTCAATCATAAGGCAACTGCAAGTCAAATCAGAAGTCAATCACAAGTCAAATCGCAATTCGGGTCCTAAACAATGAATTTACAATGACCAAGGTATTCCTTTGTAACAGTTTATTTTGATAGCCTGTCACTAGAATTCAGGATGCAGGATTTATGATTAATCTCTGATATCATCATAGATCCCTCAAAATTTACCAGGATATCTGGAAGGATTTTGAAGGATTGATGCAGAAAGAGCCCAGCTACCATTACTTTACTTGGGGCTTGGTGCTCCTTGAAAGCCCCAAATCAAGGCTTGATTCCCAAAATCCTAATATTGGTGATTGTTCATTTGTCGAATTTAATAATTTCCCCCCATTTGAATCTTGTTGATAAGTTCTATCCTAAGTCCTGTTTTCTGGTGGCTTCAAGGGATCCCAATTGTCCTTTGGGAGTTTATGTCAAATGATTACACATTGTTGATTTTCAGGTCAGTATACTTGGGAGCATATCTTGGGCGCGTCTGTGGAACCAAGATTAGGAGGTGTATGGAGCTATGGACGTAAGACAGAAGGCAACATAACATTTACGTAAGATTGATGTATGGTCTATCGGAATATGTCTAACAGGAACTATTCTTTATTGTGACACCTCGCCCACAGATTCTGTATCGTGATTGGCCGAGAGCTAGTCACATGGCATTTGCTTTGTTCGCTACCTTTCAGTGCACGGTCAAAAGTACTATATCCGTAGCAACCAAAGTACTACACCCGTAGCAACCAAAGTACAATACGCATGACCAGTATTGCGTGTGAATGCATACAGGCGTGCGCGTTGTGCATCGCGCATTGTGTGTACTGTTCTAAAGCGCTTGCGCCACTGGGAGGCAGTGCTAGTAAATTTTCAACTAATTTCGTATTCGAATATAAGTACATTTAAATTGTATGTAGATTAAATTAATCAGTTATCACTTAAAATCAAGCAGAATCTGTGGGAGGGGCGTTATAAACAAATATTGACTGCTTTATCTCAAGGTGTAGTAAAACTAGCCTTCCTCGGTGATCCATGGTACATTATAGATGTTTCATGTGCTAGTCTATATTGTTGTTTTGCATGTTTTTACTATCTTAAGTCTTGGGACTCTCATACACAGTATTGAGAGTCCCAAATTTTTGGACTAAGTTCATGTCAATCCAGTTAATAATTAGCATTTTGCAGCAGTTTTTTCCTCATTTTTATTTCTCAATCTCCCCCCCCCCCCCCTCCCGTTAGGTTCAGAATGGGGCCCGGTGTATTACCCAACAAAGTCCCGACCGAGGTGGAGAACCTCCTGCTCGTTCTCAACGGGAGGGCGCCAGACAAAGTGGAATTCACGCGCACGTGGCTGGACTACCTGGACGCGTTTCCCCAGCTGCGCAACGTGGCTCTGATGCTGATCGGCAGCGAGCAGTGCGACAACGACTGGGTGCTGCCCTATATGGCGTCGCGGGGTGGGCCGTTGAGATTCCTGTTAGTCGTTTACGACACCCCACTGGTAGATGATGCTGAGATTTACCAATGGCCGCTGGGAGTGGCAACGTAAGGATTTCTTGTCATTCCAACTCTTTGTGTTTTAATGTGACACTGTAGAGCCCACAAATTAATGTATATTTGTAGGCGACTAAAGAAAGTAAGACGTGATCTTCATACGGAATGACACAAGGGCTTTTTTATTTGTCGATAGCCATCGACCGACCCTATTACAAGTATAACATGGCAGTATCCACAATAAACGAGTTCGGTATTCCAAAATAGTCTGGTGACAGCAAGATTGGACGATTTGGGGGGGGGGGGGGGATAATCGCAGCAGATAAATGCACACAAGGCTATGGGAGACGTAGTAACCAAATCTGCATTCTGTGCAATTTTTTGTGCAATCGAAAAGAGATGGAAATTTTGTCCGCTCAAAAAGTTTTGACACACAAGACGCCTAAAAAACACTTCGCTGTCCAAATTCTTTTGCAAAATGTTATACTTCAGAACACAACATTGAACAATCTCTTCAATTTTGCTGGTATCCCACTATGCTTTTGCACGCATACGATGAAATTGTTATCCCGAAAGAAAAATCAGCAAATCTGGATGTGCACATGCGCAGTTGGAATACTGAACTGGCTTATTTTATTTAATGCGTATGTTTGTGGTGTGGACATTCATAGCTCTGGGTTCCCTTTACAAATCAATCTCAACAGAGACAGAAGCACCAAAGACCACTTTGGGTGGTTAGTGCGTAAAGCGACAAATAAATGATTGTTCCACAACCCAGCAGGTTGCATGTATAGGGTGTCCCCCCCCAAAAAAAGTTGTGCAAGCAGATATGTTTTCATTTCTCAAAACTACTTGACATGAGTATTTCATCTTGGTGGAGCATATTGATTATACTTTTGTGTTTATTCAGTGAAAATGCCATGGAAATCCGTTCGTGCAGACCAGAGATCTAACAGATTATAACAGGTTATGGGGTTTTTTTTCACCCATTCCAGTAGGATGGGATTCACACAGTTGACTTAATTTACATCAGAGTGAAAAGGTCCATGACAATCTGATGCACTGATATCACTAAATGTGTAAATCCCATTGGAATGGATGAAAAACCCATTGCCTTTTACACTCTCTTGCATCGCTGGATTGCCCGAACGGATTTCCATGGCATTTTCACTGATTATACACAAGAGTATAATAAATATGCTCCATCAAGATGAAATACTGATGTTAAGTAATTTTTGAGAAATTAAATGATATCTGCTTGCACAACTTTTTTTTTGGATGCCCTGTACCATGTTGTTCTCAAGTAAATCAAGGGTATGTAAAGGCACGATAGTGCAGGCTGTTGATTTACAACAGACATTTTCTTGGTCATTTCATGTCCAAATTGATCTATACTTTCCCTTATGTCAAGCACTCGCTTCAATACGTGGCTTTTAAGCCATTGAAATGCTTTGAAACTTTCACCAAAAGTTTGTCATCCTTTTTCTGACTTTTGATGTTCGTTCAACCTTCGCAGGTACCGTGGGTTTCCAGTTGTAGACTCTGCCGGCTTGAATGTGCGGGCCAGTCGTCCGTACCGCTGCAATTTCATGGGCACAATTTACCCAAACTCGTCCCGGGAAACACTGCTACGTGTAATCAAGAAGCACAACCTCGGCGATTACTGCTATGTGAGAGCCAGGGAGAGGTGAGATATCAAACAACTGCAATTCTGTTGTATTTTTTTTTATCCCACTCGAGTTTAACTGAGTTTTTGATTTGGCAGCAACTTTCCTGTGACTGTCTAATAAGCCAAATCAGTATTCCAACTGTGCATATATGAAGAACAAGATTCAACGATTTTTACTTGGGGATAAACGCGGCAGATAAGTGCTCACAAGTCTAAGAGGGTCGTGGTAACCGAATCTACATTCTGCGATTTTTCATGCCATCAAAAAGACAATCTAAAGTTTGTTAGCACAAAAGTTGTGGCGTACAAAACACCTAAAACACTTTCGTAAATGTTGTGCTTCCTTCAGAATTCCTTTAATTGTGCTGTATCCGCTATGATTGTGCACGCATACGGTGAAAAAAAAATGACAGGAACTGTCGCACGGGTGTAGTCCGCAAAAAAATTTTGTCCACAAACAACTGTATTTTATACAACCGTAGTTAGGCCCCCCAAAAAAATTACTCGGGTCTCAGGTCAGCGCGCGCGTTGATTTTAATCATGCGCGTCAACCGTTTTTTTTTTTTTTCAAATTAACAAGGAAGCTACAACAGCGCCCTCTATTGCCGCGCCTCCTCAAATTTTTGTACCAAGAAGCACCAAGGAATGGGGAAATTGCACCAAGGCAAATGATAAAGGGCACCAAGGCAAATTATGGAGGACACCAATGTATAATGAGGACACAAAAAAGCAAAATAGTACCCACCTTGTCTGTACAATACAAGCTTGAAAAAAAAAAAAAAGCCATAAAAAAAAAAAAAAACGCGTTGCCGCATCAATTCCGAAACTTCGGTCTGACCAGAGACCGACTACATGTATTTTTTTTTTTGGCCTTACTGTATTGCAAACGAACTGAAGTTTTCTGAAGTTGAGCAATAATATTCTTCTGGTGAGCTGGACAATTCTCCGAAGATTTTTTTTGCGCACGAGCTAGGTGCATACTGCAACAGGAAAACTTGGCAACTGAATATGTATGAGGTATAGTAAAACAAATATGACATGGTTTATTTCGGGTGGACAGGCAATATTCACTCCCCTCAAACTAGTTCCCGAGGCAAAGTTTGTCAACTTTCAATACCTCGGGCAGCGAATATCAACTGTCCACCCTCAATCCATGTTATATTTGTATACTGCCTTTCATTAAGAAGATGGTGGGGTGGACTCCAGACTGAAACACCGTCTCCGCATCCTTCCCTCAGATGTAGAGTCTGGGAACAGACCAAGGTCATTGTCTGTGTGACCTCTGACACGGGTCAACTCATGTAACCATGCACAAATAGGTACCACATTCAGCTTGCATGATTTTACAAGTACTTGTAACGTGGTTAACATTTTCAAAACGTGCAGAGCCATCATAATACAGTTTCAGCAGCTTTGAGGCAGTGTTGCACTGGAGATAATTGTGGTGAATCTTAAAGATATAGTCCATCATTTGTTAATTTGTGCATTTTGTTCGTTTGAAGCAACAAAATTTTTCAAAATCTAATGAAGGATACTGAACAACTAACCTGATGAAGTTTCAGCTCAGCTTCAGCTGTGTATTCGGAGAAAAACAGCATTCTAGGATCTCAATCTCAAATCAAAAGTTGCTGAATCATGTTTTGAATTGTTTTGAATTGCAGCTACATGTATACGCGGTGTCGCGCACTGATCTGACGAATTATAGCAACCGCGCGCGCCTGTGCGTCGTATCAATGCTTGCGCCGAATAGCAAACGAACTACTATTTTAAATAAGTAAATCGTACTAAGTAAATCGTGACGTAATAAACAGGACTCCCGATGCAGCGTAGCATAAACGAGTCCTGTTTATTACGTCACGATTTACTATGTTTTGTTTGCTGCCCCCAACGACGACTTTTACACAATTGCACGTTCGGGTCGAAATCGGACCTGAAAAACAGCTCTCAAAAGTACCTTTTGTACTCATTTCATGACGGACACAATAGTCGTTTTTATTTCATCACACCATAGGCTACATATACCCGAAAAATGACGGAAATGTCTTTGAGCATTCCACAACCTCTTTAAGATGCACCGTTGGAAAGGCCTTCTTTCGTTGATTACTTCAAAATGATAGCTTGCCAGAAAGATTAATTTCACAGGGAGTTTAGTCCACTTACTATCTTTCAACCAAGTATGTTTTTCAACCATAATACGCCAGTTACTTTTTCGGATGGCTGCAAATGATGGACTATAGCTTTAAGTCAGTATACAAGTCCACTCACAAGGACCAAGAGGGCAATCTTGTCAACGGTTCATTTGAGTAGCTTGTGATTTGACTGGACTGGCGGTCTTGTGATGGACTTGCGACGTCTTGTGATCCATCACATTTAACTACAACTCTACTCCGAGGGCACAGCCTGTTTTCATACATGTGTAAAGTGGTATTGGGAGTCAGGTTGGCGTAGTGGTACTTTCCTCACCTTCCACCACTGAGACAGGGGGTTCGAATCCTGCCTGGGCCAACATGTGGATTGGGTTTTCAGTCCCTACCTGATTCAGTGGGTTTTCCCCCCGAGTATTCTTCTGGGGTTTTCCTCCCACCCTCTAAAACTGTAATTTCTCCTCATTGTCTCCTTTCTACAGGTTTCTTCAGGCATGCGAGCTACAGTGCCTAGGGCGCTTTTGAGGAATCCTTGGTTTCATTATCAGAAATTATTAATAATAATAATAATAGTAAAAGCTAATTTGAAAATGTTGTTTTAATTTTTCTGTCAGTTGGGAGCCAGCTGAAAAAGAAGAGACAAGACTCGACTATGAGCGAATCCTTTCCCAGAGTGACTTGACGCTCAGCCCTGTCGGCTTGAACACCGAGTCCTATCGCATCTATGAGGCTTGCTCCTACGGATCTGTCCCCGTCATAGAAGACGTAAAGACCTCGGGGAGATGTGCCCGCGAGCCGCTTCGCCTCCTAAAACGATTCCAAGCACCGTTTATTTTTCTCAAAGACTGGAATCAGCTTCCTGAGATACTGAAAGAGGAATCAAGGAAAACTCCACAGGAAATTTACCAACGTCGTGAAGAATTGCTTCGATGGTACGACAACTTCCGTGCGGAACTGAAACAGGTGTTTTTAAAAACCATACAAGGTAGCTTTTTCCCAACATGAATTTTTCAAATCAACGATTTTTCCTAACTTTTTATAAGCCTTTTATGGTATTTATTTCCTTGTACATTGTATATGAATTCATGTAAAAGAACTTTTATACAATTATTTAAAAATGGCCCGGGCCGGGCAAATACCATACAAATTAATTTTTTGTTATCTTTTATTTGAAAATGTAGCAATTTTATGCAGATGAATTGCAAAAGCCAAATGTTGTTTCTTTTTCAACATATTGGAGCAAAAACCTCAAAGTAAACTTAAACCTGGCCATTTGTCATGGTCCAATTTTTGTTTAAAATTTGGACCGATTTGGTTTAAAAGGATATTATAAGTGAAGCCGTTATGAAGTCACGACAATCAAAGTATACATGTTGGGCGCAATCGGTCGATCACGTTGCGCGGTGGGTCCATTCTGTAGGATATCTTGGACTTTTATCTTTAAAAAAAAAATTCCTCCAGAGCCGTGAATTACATGTACAGGCGACTCTCATTATAAAGAGCACTTTTATAAAGAGGTTCTCCTTATAAAGAGCAAATTCTGAGGTCCCAAATCTCAGGTTCTCTTTGTGTTTCTTTGTTTCGCTGTCCTTTTATAACAACATTCCTGTTATGTAGAAAGAAAAGACTGGTTCGACTGGTGGCAGTGCAAATCGACCGATAGCACAACGCGATCGACCACTCGCGTCCAACATACACGGTTATATACAAACTCTATAAATCCTTTCCCAAACCCTGTACGAGTTTCACAAATAAACAGTGCAAAAAAAACAGACAAAATCTTTCCAAACTTGTTTAAAAGTTGTTGTATTATTTTACTGTGAACTTGTGCAATGGGCTTGAAATACATTATTTGCAAAGACGAGTAACAAAACAAGTTACACCTTTTTGTTGCCAGATACTTTCAAGAAAATGATCTTTGTGGCTTTTTTTTAGAGTGATGGAAAATAATCATGTCTTTTACAATCTAAAATGACTATATTTCTTGTTACCCCAACCCTGATGTTTGAATCCTCACAATCAACTGAAATTTACAACAAAAAAGTTACTTAGAACTGTAAAAAAAATTAGTTCTAAGGTAACACAAAATGTTTTTGTCCTTTAATATTTTACAACTCATTTGACTACAGCATAAACATTAAAATAACACTAATAACTTACTTTTTTTTCTAAAAATGTACACGTGTTTAAAAAATAAAATCGGTGCATCTTTAAATACATTTTTTCAATATATTATATGCACCTGGCGTTATTTAATTATATTTCAACAGGTTTTTTTAATTCTTGGGAATCGAAAAGATAGCTAGAAAATGGATAGCAAAATTACGTTTTTCCGAATAAAATATTTTCCTTTAGTAAATATTAAGTTGTCTTTTTCGGTGTCTTCTTTTCTTTTGTTGGTTCCTTCTATTATCTGAGCACTGACAATTTAGGCACACATGTACAATGAAAAGTCTGCATTACTGCTAAATCAAATTTTGTGTTTCTTGTACATTGGAACATAGCATTAAATTTTTTTTTTTTATCTTTGCAGCAATTCATTAGAAAATGATTTAAGTACATGTACAAAGAACATGGACACTACCAATTTTGGAAATGATTTTTGGAAAAATAATGAGTTCATTTTTTTTGTAACAGGTTGCATACTCTGAATTAGATGTACATGTACCAGTATGTATACGCTGTATCAACAAATCTCTTTTTTTTTTTTTATCAAGCTCAGTAAAAACAAAACATTCCAGAAAAACACTGATGAATCAATGGAAAAGTGAGTAAAAATGAATCATTCTTCTTAAACAAAAATTGGTTCTAAGGAACATGTTAAAATACAACTGTTGCTTAAAACAATTTCAAACTTGCTAGTGAAGCAGATAAAAAAAAAGGCAATATATTACAAAATGTACAGAATTTTTAACAAATAAGCCAACATATCTAAGTATTAATGATTAAAAATAGAACCACAAAAGTTAATTTTTAGATACGATGCTCCTGAATTAACTGAGTTGCTTGTACATATTAAAAAAAAAAAAATCCCATTTGATCAGTTATATACAAATCAGAGCAAGTTCGGACGAGGATTGTGCTTCACCATAGTTTGACTAACTTCACCCAGACACAGGATGGTTGGACTGCTCTAGTCGACTATTTGAAAGCGGACCACAAGGCACGGTTACACCACTGGTTACCATTGGCCGCGGGCATCATATTGCAAAGCAGGGAGCCAGGATCAAGACGTTTTGTGCCGATGTTTAAACTAGCGTTTGACTAGAGACGCTTGCACGTTGCTATAAGTGTGCAGGCTGCGTCACAAATCAACCACTAGTCGACTAATGGTCCTCGCCCGAACTGGCTAATTTCTCTTTCTGGCGAATGAAATACAAATTTACATTTTTTTTTAAACATGAAAACAGATCAGGTTCAGATGTACCTGTTAGTGGACAATTCTCCGAGTTACACGCCGAGTGGAATATAAGGAGAGATTCCTTGTCTTAGCTGTAGAAATTTGAAACAGCTACTGAACAGTATCTTGACTTTCTGCATCGGTTACAAAAAACTGTGGAGTTGCCCAAGCATACTCTTTTGACTGTACAAAGTGTACATGGGTACCCTGTTTTTGCTGAGGAAATCTGACATAAATTCCAAACAGTTCCTTGTCTCTTTAACATTGATTCCCTAAAGTTTGGGATTCACCCTAGCCTACCCTTTGAATGTATATATCCTTCCCCCCCCCCCCATCATTCAGAAAAATTCAGTGGGTACTACACAAGTTTTTTTTGGCTTAGGAAATCTAAAATAGATTCCAAACAGTTCCTCGGCTCCTTAGCATCGATTCCGAACATTTTGGGAGTGGCCCACATCTGTACCCTTTCACTGTATATATAGGTATCCTTTTTTCCCCCCATCATTTAGAAAAGTTTACGGTAGAAAAAAACACAAAAAAGTAAGATGCAATATCCTGTGTCATCGGCAGCACTCCATCTCTTGAAAGTAGTTGTCCCACTCGTCAAGTTCCGAATCTTGCTCTGATGCAGCGTCGGGCAAGCTGTCCCATTTCAGCATCTCTGTGGCTGAAGAAGGAAAAACAAAACAAAAGGGACGATATTTGACCCGCTCCACAAAAAAAAGGGTAATATGTCGCAAAAAAAATGAAATTGAGTTATATACATGATTGGAAAGCCCACAACGTAAGCTTTATTTGGTATATACATGTAATAGAGCTCCACGGCCCCTTCCGTTACTTTTAGGATAAATGCAAATGATCCTTCATGTCTTTAAAAGACAATACCTGATTGGTTTAATCTGCTCTCAGCCCATACTGTGTTGCTGTTGAAGATCCAGAGATGGCCATTATTGCAAGACTGAAGGCATGAGGTGCAAGGCAACATAACATGGTACCCTAAAATATTACCACTGTGTCAAAAAAAAACAGAAGAAGAAATATTTCAAATCAATATTTGGAGAATCAAATTATTGGTGAGCCAATGTCCTTTTATAAGTGTGCCCCAAAGAGCCGGCTTTCAAGGCAGACCCAGGGGAAAAAGTGGGAGAAAAGTATGATCATAAAAAACAAACCAGGACAAAAGTAGGACTTTGGAGGACAAAATCAGGATAAGGACTTTTGCAGGCTTTCAGGAGTAGTTTTCATTGGAACTTGCCCATGTCCACAGCATCATAAGCCTCATTTGGCATGTTCTGTACTCACAACACTTGTGCTCCATCCTCAACTAAGCTCTTGGAAGTACAGTTGCAGTACTCCTGCGCCTAAGCCCTTCATTGTGTGATTTACATATGACAATGTGTAAAAAATTTCAATGAGATTTCATTTTTAGGAATTTCAAGAGCAAAGTTGGAAAAGTAGGAGCAAGGTAACTAGGAAAAAGCAGGAAACGTAGGAATACTTGAAAGCCTGTAAACAATATTAAAATAAATGTAACTTTGACATTTGTTAGAATGAGGAGAACTAATTATTACAACTCCGTCATTTATTTCTAATGAAGTAAACATGTACACAAATAATTTGAAATGAATGAATAACCTTTGCAGAGATGTTTTACTCACCAACTTGTGCAGGCGACATCACAGATTTTGCAGGTGCACTTTTTGGTCGAATAACTTTTGCCGACACTGCTGACTTTGCTGTGGGATAAAAACAACAGCATTATAACAACAGGAATCTCACTCATTGTATTTTATTACCTATGTAAGTCACACTTAAATTTTTTTTAATTTAAATTGTTCTTTTTATTAAGTAGATTTCATTATCTTCTTTGAAATCAGTGGTTTTGGAGGATTTTTTTGGAAAACGGGAACTAAAGTCCGAGAACCATGTGGTTGAAAGTCTGGTTCCAACAGCCAAAGATCCTGACATTGAAAACTATTACATGTATGTCAGGGAACCAGACAGCCATGACAGTTCCATAACAATAGCAGTTGAAAGTTGCGTTACGGCTGCCATAATGATAGCCACTGCGTTTCAAATAAGAGTTGGTTTGAACGTGCTGAAATGCAGATGTCTCTCTGTCCAAGAACCTGTGACCGTTTTTAATGCTTGAAAACTGTGAAACCAAAACCTTTGAAACTGATCGGTGATACACGTGTACATGTATCTGTTGAGTGCGATCGGTTGATGTGCATGATTGGTAACCAAAGGTGTTGCGCTATTTATTTGTCCATCATGCGAACACCTTTTCTTTCTAATTCACGGCTCTGGAGGATTTAAAAAAAAATAAGGTAAGTAAAGTCTGATCCAACAGAATCGATCCATCGCGCAACACGATCGACCAATCGCACAGATCGACCGATCGAGACCAACTTATCCATGGCATGGCAATACATGCGATGGAAACCATGAATTCAGCAAAAGTACATGTACTGACATCACTGAAAATAAAACGATAAAACTCTGGTAATGATTTTATAATTATTTTCCTTCTTGCCTGCTTACATGTACATTGCATTAATTACGATATCTAAGTAAACACAATAATTAACTAAACAAAGGGTACATGTACATATTCATTGCACTTGGCTAATGTTTTAGTTAAGGCCCTGTCTGTTTTTTTTTCATAATAGCCTAACATGTTTAAAATAAAAATAAGTTCAAAATTCTAAATTGCCAACTTTTTAAAGTTAAAATTCATTGCAATCACTGTAAATTATTTAATACGAAAAAGCCAGAAACACACACACTCAGAGTTGCATGAAATCACAAAAGTGTTGAAAATGAAATGAATCATGTCACTCAATCTGTCATTCCACTATACGTACACATTACACTACCTACCCAGAAATAGGCGAATCTGTCGAGTACAATTCCACTGCTGTGTCGGCCAACAAAACCGCTTTCATGCCTCTTCTACACACGTAGGAATCACAAAACCGGCACAGAAGTTTGATAACATGTTTCTTTCTGAAACTGGGATGCATTATGACGATTAAAATGCTTCACTTCTCTGGAAACAACCACAAAAATAACCAAAGTTAGAGCCACATTCGTTGAACTTCTGTGTGTAGAAAATTTAAATACCCGTCCCTTTCCAGATGCTGATTATTTACGTACGTTGGTGACCCTCAGAGCAACAACAGCTTTGAGTGGTTGATTTATCAGAGCATAACGTCACCTCGACACCTACTGACCAATGAACGCCCTCGGTACTACAAAAGGATTATTTCCCAGAAGGCCATCCCCAGCATATGCGAGTATTTCCTGAAACATGGCGGCCGACTGTGCAACTTAACTCTTCACGTCTGTCGGTCTAGTCGAACTTAATTTTAATCTCTGAAGCAGTCAGCATTTCTTTATTTATATCTTGTGATGAAGGTTTTGAACGGAATATTGCACTTTCACCAACATGTCCGGATCCGATAGAAGGCAAGAAAAGGAAATTTTACAGGAATTTGATTCACAAGTGAAAGGTAAGAAGAGTTCGACTTCGACTTCGTGCAGTGTCGGCCGAATGTCCTGTGCTGTAAGGCCTACCGGGTAGCGCGTTCATGTACCGCACAGTGCACGTTTCATGCGGTCACTCGGTGGGAGTGAATTCGCTGCCGGCAGTGAACACTGGTGAACCGTACACTGTAATCTGAATGTTGCATTTCGGGGGGGGGGGTCTTTGATACTTTTTATGGAAAGAATTGTAACGTAGGGAAAGAATGCAGTACTAGTAGGGCCTGGAATCCAGAAGCCACTTCAGCGGTTGTAAAAGTCAAGTGCATTTTCAAAATAAGAAATGTTTCTTGTCCCAGATTCATATCTTTTTAACATTTGGAAAGAATTCCAGGAAAGAATGTTGCAACCTGACACTGTTTTTTTCTTCATATAGCCTATCATCTCAATGAAGGTCAGTATCTGTAATTGCAAAAATGATGATACTTTGATAGGCCTAAGTAAGAATTGAATTTGGGACTGAGAAACATTTCCAATTTTGTTAGGAATTACTTAGAACATTTTCTTAAGTTCTTGACTCTCCATAGACTTTGTACACAATCGCTGAAATAGTGTCAGGTTGCAACATTCTTTCCGAATAACATACATTGACATCACTAATTTTTCCCTGCAGTGACCTACATGTATCAGCCATCAGAAAGGGATAACATGTCCTAAAACTAAGTCAAATTTTGCTGGAAAATATTAAGCATTAACTGAGAAAACACTTTAAAATTTTCAGCCCAGTTTCATACTATCATAGGGTATGTGCACAGGGTGTCAAGTGATGAACAGGTGTGGAATTATTTCCCAACATTTTGCAATGACTAACCTTCACTGAGATTGGCCTAATATGAAAAAAGTGGCATCAAGATGCAACATTCTTTCCATTATGTTCACAAAATCATGAACTTATTGGCTAAACTCCACTTGTCGAGACAACTTGGGATACCTCTCCACCCCCCCCCCAAAAAAAATAACTAAAAAAAAAATAGGTTTAAGGGCCTGTTAAATACTAAGCACAAAGAACGACCCCCCCCCCCAAGAAAAAAATCCCACAAAGTCTAAACAAAGAAAAAGTCATGCACAAAATGCAGATTCTTTTTTTTACAGCCTACCTATTTAATTTTCTATTAACTTTGCCTTTATATTGTTTAAAGTGAGCAAAATTACAAACTTAAAGGGAAGCAAAGTGAGAAATATTTCAGAAACATATGTGGAAAGGTCCTCAAGTATTGGAAAATACAAATGTTCTTTTTCAAAAAGTACAAAACCTGGTCTTGCATTAGTTTGAATTGATTCAAAGTTATGGTTTGGGTTAAAACCAGTTTGCTACACAAATGACAAACAACAGGCATTTATTTTGTGAAATGAAGAAAACAATTTAAACAGATTTTCTCTGAGTAAAAAATGTACTTTTTAACCAAAAAATCCTTGACTGAATTCACAGTTTCAATTCTGCCGAAAAATGTGAAACCTCATGAAAGAAGTTATGTGTATTGTAGGCATACATGTACTGTCATATTAAATAACAACTAAAGTAAATTTTTACCCTTGACCCTCCTGCTATCTGAACAGTCACAGACAGTCAAAAAGTCAATCCTCTTCACCTGCCATGCCTTTTACACAGGCTAGTCACCAACGATCAGATCATATGTTAAGCAAGCACTGTGACTAGTCAAATTCAGTCAACAGACAAAAACAGACAAGTGGCAGGCACAGCTGGCGTATCAATCAAAGCATAGCTGTATCAAATAAACAGTCACAGCCAGTCAATCCTGTATGTCGGCTGGATGCTCTTAACCGTTGAAAACAGTTACCTGATTGATTTCAACTGAAAGGACAACTTGGCAAAGAATGTACGTTTGCATAGGAGGGTTAATTCAAGTGACGTTTACAATTTTATAAAAGCTATTTGTGGAAATGTTGTATTTATTAATCATAAATTTTGTTATCCCTCTCATACACGAGCACAGGCAGAAATAAATGGACAGTTTTATTAGCGAGTCTATGAACAATGTACAGGCTAAAATAAAATAAAACAACATGTTAAGCGTCCCCGCCTGCTTCCTATTTGGAGGTTGCCTCCTTTTTTTTCCCTTTTTTTTTTAAACCGAAAAAATGATAAATTTTAAACAGTGACATCATTTTGGCCTCTCTGTCTGTTGCTTCTAGCCCATATAAAGCTAGTACCAGTATGTCATTCCTAAGTCCAATGGCAGCCATTTAAAAAAAACAAAAACTGGCAGCCATCTTAAAAACTAGCCCGCCGCCTGCGTAATTTTTATTCCTAGGAGGGTTAGGGGCAATGTCATGAATAATTCATGTTTATCCATGAGAACGGACAATGACATCAACAGCATTGTTGTTAGTTACTCAACTAGTTACAATACATTAAAGCATTTTAAAGAACGGTTGTCGTCGAGCTACCGCACAGTAGCCTAGTGGATAGCGAGATGAGCTATGGATACGAAGATCCCTGGTTCGAATCCACGTCGTCGCTGCTCATTTTCATCAGCTATTTTTCTTCTCCAAATTTATCACTGAGATATTTTTAAATTAAGGGGAAAATAGCACCAATGATTCAAAGGAAATACTGAATTATTCATGGCATTGCCCCTAACCCTCCTAGGAAAAAAAATTACGCAGCCCGCCTCCCACTTCCTTTATTAAAAAAGGCAGGACTTTAAACATGATTTTTTTTTATTGGGTCTAAATTACAAACTGCAAAAAGTATATATAAAAGATGTCCACTCCAAAATAAGAGTCTAAACTTTTCCTTTACATTTATTATAACACAGAAGAATGTAAGCCCTTTATTGCACATGCACACATCTTGCAGTGGATTGAAATATGTAATCCGTACCCTTTTTAATTATAGAATTTGAAGTGATTGTTGTGTCATAAAGTCTGGATATTTCAAGAGATTTTTGATTTTGTGGCTATAGTTTGTGGTTGAGTCATTTTGTTTCTGAAAGTCGTGTCATCCAAAGGTTATCAGTCATCCTCAAACCACTGCTTCCTGTGGACAAAGTTTTCCTTTGACCAAAGTGTACACATTTTAAAGTAGACGCCAAAGACATAACCAGTGTGTGCCTGATGCTGGCATTCTTGTGGTCAAACTGACCTCAAGCTGAACCCTCCTCCCACTGTTTGTCATTGCCAAACTCATTTATTCCTACCTCTTGTGACTCTGTCTTTGGACTTGCATTGGCTCCAGCATTTTTAGAGATAAGGTACCGGTAGATGACTTCCTTTAGAAGGATCATGGAAGGATTGAGGCGCGCAGTAATCAGTGATTATCCAAAGAAAGAATGTTGACAATTTAAAGTGAGTTAGAATGATGTAGCTCTGTCAGAAGGCATGTTCATACAGTATGTACATGTATACATTGCATAAATGCCTTATTACAGATACATGTACATTGTACATACCAGTTTATTTTAGGAGTCTGAATTAGAATTTGATCTTATTCAAGAATAAAAAAAAACGAAACAGTTTATTTCGTCTGGGAGGGCCCAAAAAGCCAATAAGCCATTTGGGAGTGACCTACACCCTTTGGGATTTAAATTTGAAAAACATCTGGTACATGTACCGGTACACTGACTTGCTCAGAATGCTTGGCACATTTTAACTTTGAATTCTCCAGACCAAAGACACTGTTGCTAATCACATGATTTGGGGCAAGCTCTTGCATAGTTAAAAAAATGTACATAAGAGACGCTCAGCACCAATACATTGTTCACAATGGGTGAGAATGTCACAAAGACACCAGACCATGCCAGAGCTGGGGGTTGCTAGCATAGGCTTGCCCCGAATCGCGTGATATACCGGTAGTAACAGTCTCTTTGGTCGGTAGAATGCAAAGTTAAAACGTGCAAAGCATTGGATTAAAGTCAGTGTTACAGATTTTATTCAAATTTAACTTGCAAATGGCTTATTTCTAAGGCTTATATCCATTGGGGTCCCATGCAGAGTTCATGCAGACTCATTTTGCAATTCCTTCTCTGAGTGATATTGCATTATGTAAAGTGACATTTTGTTTAAACTTGTTACATGTACATATCCACTGAGCAAGAGTTGTACACTGTACACGTACCAACGAATGTTGACTTATAAACCCAATATGAACGGCAAAGCTTTTAGGAAACTGATACTGGCCACGGTGTCGGAGGGATTAAATAATCATGAATGTTTTAAACAAATGTTAGAATTATCATCGTTTGAGTCAACAGAATCAAAAGTCAAGCAAAAGTCATTGGCCACTGAAATCTACATAAAGGATTTATGAAGGATTCAAGAAATGATGCCACACCCACATGACCAAATATAAACATTGAGGTCCTCTGTCTAGACTGGCCAATTTTTGACATGCAGCCAGCTCACAGTGTAACGACCTCCAGAGTCCAGACTCATCATAGGAAATTGTCCCATCAGCTCCCCCAGGCCATGAAATACAACCTTCAGCCAGGATAGAAGATATTCCATTCCCTTCTGTCATTTCTCTCTCCCCTGTCCTTTTGAAATTGCAATCTTCTGATGGGGATCTTTATCATCTTTGTAAGGCTCGCATCCTGCATGGTCCTTGTGGTGTCAATTTAATATTACCTCCGGTTGTGTTGGCTCTGTTGATTCTGTGCGATCATTGACAGTCAACACTGTGTGGGACCACACAATAGCTGGCTGTTGATAGAGTAAATAGGATATCCTTTAGGCTGAGCTACATGTATTGTTTGCAAAAACAAAGTTCTGATTTATATTAGGGCAATTCACTCTATTGCCTAAATACCTGTAGTCATAATAACAGACTTTTTATTGAAATGATTTTTTTTTTTCAAATTTGAAAAAAAAAAAATTGACTGGAGCGGGGTTTGAACCTGCGACCTCTGGATTGCCGTTCTGGTAACCTCGTCCCCAGGGTGTCGAGCAGTACGCAACCACCACTGCCTGCTCTCTCACCTTGGTGTTGGATCATTTGCATACGTGTGCA